CAGATCTTTCCCATGGACTTTCTTTCCATCAGATTATACGGGCTAGTGTGCAACCAGAATATTTGTATTTTCAAAAGCTTTGCATGGCTGGGAATCACTGGGCTTAACTAACCCATGGTGGTTTATATAAGTCAATATGTCATCTTATGATCAGTAAAAAGTTTTTTTTCCCCGAATGAAGGGAAAAAAATAGAGAATTGAGGGTCTCTGGGAGACCCTACACAAAACAGTTCCTTATTCTATTTTTCCATTTCTTTTTAATATCCTACACCAGCCACATGTAGGTTCTTTCTTGAACACTTCCAGAACTTTATGGTTTTATATCTAGAGTTCTCTGTATTCTCACGAAAATACAGTTTCATGATTCTCCTGGACTGACATTACTCGCTGAATTATGCTACCCATCCCTATGATTCCTAGGTGTTCTCTTTACACAATTCTATCACAGTCATTATCCAGTTACCGCGTGCCTGGTGCCCATCTGTTCTCTGTATGGGGTTGCTGTCACCACGGTAGAAGGTATAGGAAGCATCAAAACCAGGATTCACCCCGTGCAGGTAAGAGTGTACTCTGATTGGGACCAGGTGTTGGTATAGGTACCCCACATAGTCCCATGTACTCTAAATAGGTCACCAACTGTGAAATCCTTTGTGTTTTTAAATTCACATTTTGTTAGATTCCATGCTTCGTAGCTAGGGATCTTTTCAAAGATTGGTGTATAAACCAAGATTTCTTCATTAATTTTAATACATCTTACTTAGCTTCTCAGCCCCATCTTTGCCCTAAACTAAAACAAGGACAGTTCAGTCTCATGAGAAAAGAAAATTAGATAGAAAATCAGAAGTTTCTAGAAGATAACTGGTTGTCTACCACATTCAAAATACTGAACTCTGAATGAGAGGCTAATTTGTGTACAAATACTCCCCACACTCACCAAATGTCTCAGGAGAAACTGAGCAGCCAGGTGGCAATAAAACACAGCTAAAATGACAACGTGTTCACTAAAGTTTACAGGACTTTTTGAAGAAATGACAATGCTATTTTCATATACTAGCACAGGAACTGCTGCAGAAGTTGTCTTAAAAGCAGTGTATAGAAAGAAAATTATAAATAGCCATATTTTCCCTTGACATTCTTTCTCTTCGAAAACTGGGCTTGGAGCATAGAGGCTAAGAGCGTCCTCTGACAGTTGTTACCATTGATGGGTATTTAGTTATAGTGCATGTCTTTCAACCATAATCTTAATGACTTTTTGATCTTATTAAGATCCTACCTCATATCTGACTCATCACCTTAACAGTTATGGAAGCACCTAATGCTACAGCCTATCAGATTTCTTTCTCTCCAGTCATCTTTCAAAATTACACTTGACATTCAATATTACATTAGTTTCAGGTGTAAAATAGTGGTTTGAAATTAATATAACTTAGGAAGTGATTCCCCTGGTAAGTCTAGTACCAGCTGGCACCATACAGTTATTGCCATTTTCTCGTTCATATTTTTTACAATTTTCTTTTTCTTTTTCTTCTTTTTCCTCTTCCTAAAGAATACCCTTCAACATTTCATATACTACTGCTTTGATGGTGATGAATTCCTTTAGCTTTTTCTTGTCTGTGAAGCTCTTTACCTGACCTTCAATTTTAAATGATAGTTTTGCTGGGTAGAGTAATCTTGGTTGTAGGTCCTTGCTATTCATCACTTTGAATATTTCTTGCCACTCCCTCTGGCCTGCATAGTTTCTGTTGTAAAATCAGCTGACGGTCATATGGACGTTCCCTTGAAGGTAACTAACTGTTTTCTCTTGCTGCTTTTAAAATTCTCTCTTTGTCTTTAGCCCTTGGCATTTTAGTGATGATGTGTCTTGGAGTGGTCCTCTTTGGGTGCTTCTTTTCTGGTACTCTCTGTGCTTCCTGGACTTATAAGTCTATTTCTTTCACCAGGTAGGGGAAGTTTTCTGTCATTATTTCTTCAAGTAGGTTTTCAATATCTTGCTTTCTCTTCTTCTAGCACCCCCATAATGTGAATGTTTGTACGCTTGAAGTTGTCCCAGAGGCTCCTTACATTATCTTTATTTTTTCTATTCCTTTTTCTTTTTGCTCTTCTTGTTGAGTGTTTTTTGCTTCCTCATATTTCAAATCGTTGGTTTGATTCTCAGACTCCTCTACTCTACTGTTGAATCCCTATATATTATTCTTTATATCAGTCAGTGTATGCTTAATTTCTGACTGGTCCTTTTCCTTTTTTTTTTTACTTAGCATATTAGACTTTTATTATATAGGATTTTTACTCCCTATAAGGATCCTTTCCCATTTTTTTGGCATTCTCATTAAGATCCTTAAAAGTCACACTAAGTCCCTTGGAGGTTTCTAGAAGATTCTTGAGTAACCTAATAACCATGGTTTTGAAGTTTATATCTAGTAGTTTGTTTCTTCCATGACTTTCATTTGTGACATCTTTCTTTGTCTCCACATTTTGGCTGTTTCCCTGTGTTTGTTTCTATGTATTGGGTAGAGCTGCTATGTCTCCTTGAGTTGGTAGGGTGACCTCGTGTAGCAAGTGCTCTATAGGGCCCAGTGGCTCAGCCTCCCTGGTCACCTGAGCTGGGATATCTAGGTGCAGTTTCATTGTAGTTGAGACTTGATTGCTGTTGGTGTCACTGGGAGGAATTGACCTCCAGGCCAATTGGCTGTGAGGATCAGCTGCAACTGCAGTGGGAGAGTTGCTGTTAAGGAGACACCCTTTGGAGCAGGACTTGCTGCAGTGGGGCTTTGGTGCTCACTGAATCTGCCCTTGAGTGTGTTGCTTATGGATGTGTAAAGCTGTAATCTGGTATAGGCTGACACTGACCACTGGGTACACTGGCTCTTGGGTCTCCAGGGAGGTGCAAAGTCAGCCACAGTCTGGGGCCACCCAGCAGGAGCTACAGAGAGATATGCTGATTTCTCCTCTTTGTATCGGATTTGGAAGTGCCCAGACAAGGCCCAGCTGTGAAGCAAGGCAGGCTGTTGCTGGTGCCAGGTTTTGGGCCTTTTATTGATAGGTTTGAGGCTTCCTGACCCAGCTGCAGCTTGTTTGAGATTTTAGCTGAGCAAGGACAGGCCATTCATATGCAAAAGCTGCTGCTTGCAGCTTGAGTGGGGTTGTAAATTGGATAAGGCAGGGTCTTAGGGAATCACCAGGGTGGAGCAAACAGAAATGGCTGCCAGTCAATCCTGACTCAGAGGTCCTAGCATAGGAACAATGATCCCTGCAGCACCTCCATATGGGAGAAAGCCGTCCTGAGTTTCTGTCCTGATACCAGACAATCCAGTTCCTCCTGGTATGTGTCTGTGTTCCCCAGAGCCTCGCCCTGGTGCTGGAGCTCAGACGAAGCAGGACCTTGTAAATTCAGTTTGTGGTGCCGGCCTTTTAAGAGGATCAGCTGGATCTCCAGCAGCCTCTGTGTCACTGAGCCCCAATCCGCACTGGTTTTTACAGCCTGTAATTTTTACTGCCTGTAGGAATTTCTCTGCCCAACTCTGGAATCCTGGGCTGGGGGACTGGTGTGGGGCTGGGACCCCTTGCTCCTCCGGGCAGCCTCTGCAGAGACGATTAAAAAAGTGGCCCATGTGGGTGCCAGACCAGCTCATTCTGCGCCTCTGCACCTCCTACCAGTCTCAGTGCGCTTTCTTCTTTACTTCTCTAGTTGTAGGACTTCCATTCAGCCAGCTTTCCAGCGGTTCTGGTTAATAGTTATTCTGTATTTTAGTTGTAATTTTGATGTGGTTGTGGAAGGCGATGAGTATAGGTGTTTACCTAAGGCCACTATCTTCCTACTTTGAATATATTGATTCTGTACAATCTTTTATGCACTAGTTCATTGATGGACACTCACGTTGCTTCCATATCTTGGCTATTGTAAATATTGCTGCAATGAACAGAGGTCTGCATATATTTTTTCAAATTAGCATGTCATGTTAACAAATGCAGTTTTCATTTCAGTAATTGTATTTTTAACTGATTCTTTTTTTATGTTTTCTGATTGTCATTCTTATGTTTCTTATGTCTTTGTTGAAGTTCTCACTAAATTCATCCACTCTTCCCCTAAGTTCATAGAACATCCTTATAACCAGTGTTTTAAGCTCTGCATCTGGTAGATTACTTGTCTCCATTTGTTGAGCTCTTTTTCTGAAGTTTTGTCCCATTCTTACATTTGGGACATTGTTCTTCGTTTCCCCAGCCATTTTGGCTGCTTCTTTGTGTGTGTTCCTGTTTTAGGTGAATCTGTTACACCTCCTGGTCTTGGCAGAGTTAGGTGTCCTGTGGGTCCCAGCAAGGCATTCTCCTTCATCACCCGAGTGGGTTGTATGTGCCCGCCTATTATAGTTGAGCTTTCATTGCTGTGGCAATGTCAGTGGGACAAATTGACCCCAAGTTAACTGGCTTGGAGGAGTGTCTGTGACTACAGCAGACAAGCTGTTTTTCAGGGGCTGTTTCCATGGAGTGGTTTTGCTTTAGCAATATTCTAGTGCCTGCACTGGCCACCCTTTGGGTCTGTTGTTTGTGTAGCTAATTGGTTGATGTTCCAGTGTGGTCTAAAACCATGTATGATGATTCTGGGACCTCTTGGGAGGATCTCTGGTGCAGACCAAGTCACTTGCTGTGCCTGGCCCAAGGCCACCAGGTAGAAGCTACAAAGTGATCTGCAGATGGTTGCCACCTGTGCTGGACCTAGAGGTGCCTGGGAAAGGCTAGGCTGCAAACCGAGGCCAGCTGCCACTTGTGCCAGAGGTATGAGGCATGCTGGGGCCAGATGCTACTTGTCTAGAGTTCATGTATCTCTAAGATATTTTAGGAAAGTCCACAGGGTAGGCCGAGAACTGTCACTTTAAAGAGGTTTCAGGCTTGTGCATAGTTTGGTAGGGCAGGTTCTTAGTAAATCACTAGGGTGGGGTGAACAGTGTTAGTCAAATTAATTGGAGACTCAGATTTGGCACTACCTGTACTAGCAGGCCGGGCAGGAGAAGGGCTGAACATAGGAACAATGGTGTCCACCAGATGGCTATGTGGGGGGAGAGCTCAACCAAGGAACAGTGGTGTGCACTCTGGGGTTTCTGTCCAAGAAAGAGCCACCCTTCCAGCCCTCACCTGAAGCCAGATGATTCAGGTGCCCTATGTCCCTGGCATTTTTCAAGCTGCTGTCCCTTTGCTGGAACTTGGGGCAAATGTTTGTGGGTAAGTAAATCTGTGCTTGGGCACTTTAAGAGGATGCCTGGGTCTCCAGCACTTCTCCGTCTCACTCAGACAGAAGCCCTGCTGATTTTCACAGCCAAGTATTGTAAGGACTCCTCTTCCTGGCAACTGGTGCTCTGGATATGAGGCTGGGATCCCTTGCTCCCTCCACAGCCGAGGTACCCCACCCTGTTCTTAACCATCATAGGTGCGTGTGGGATCAGCCTGTTTTGTGTCTTTGCCTCTCCTACCAGTCACTATGTGGCCTCTTCTTTAAATCCTTAGTTGTAGGAATTCCATTCAGCTAGTCTTCAGTGGTTATCAGTGATGGTTGTTTTATAATTTGATTGAAATTTTGATGGGGTCATGGGAGAAGCCAAGCACAGCATTTACCTACTCCACCATCTTGACCAGAGGTCTCTCTCAATATGCTGGATTTGTTCAGTAGTGCCCTGGAATAACCTCATATTGGCTTGTGAGAGCAGATTGTTAAATTTTGGGGAATTTTGTGAGCCATTCTTTAAACACAGCCATTATTAACAATGAAACTATACAAACTTAACATTAAATAAGTAATGATAAAAACAAAGTTAATAAATATCATTACTCATCATCTGCTAATTATTTTACTACATTTTACTGTTGTTTATACCCCTAAGATTATTTGTCTATTATATCTACTTGGTAGAATGGTATGCCACTATACATCTCTTCCCAGATTCAATAACATCACATTGAAGCCTGACACCAGCCCTATTGGAAATATTTTCACAAATAAAATTGGTAGAAACTACAAATCAGGACTTTTTTCCCCAGAGACCCAGTTGTTAAGATTGACCACCACATTTACATCCAGTTGATCTGCCACATCTGAAACCACACAGCCACATTTCCCTTTAGCTTTAGAACAATGTCTGTCCCTTTTTTTAATGGTTACATATGCCATTGTTGCATTAACATAATTATTTTTTTCAATTACAGTTGATATTCAATGGTATATCAGTTTCAGGTGTACAGCATAGTGGTTAGACATTTATTTAACTTCCAAGGTTCCCCCCAAGATGATGAAGTAAGTAAATATTATGCTTGACTTCTCCCCAATAAGTCTAGTACCCACCTAATACCATATATAATTATTAAAATATTATCGAATATCTGTCCTTTAAGTTTAGCCATAGTTGAACTATGTGGCTTTCATCTCAGGGGGCGTGCTGTTTGAAAAATGTTGAGCCAGTTGGTTGAGCACCATGCAAGAGACACATGGGACAAAGTCACACAGAGGAACCCAGAGTCATGTCTCCCATCTACATCTTCATGGCATAGGTTCTTTGTATAGAGTGGATGAAGTAAATTGTTATTTCTCACTCTCTTTTATTTCCTGTCCAGGATAAGGAAACCAAAGGCTTAATGCATAAATAATGTACCCTTTCTTCCCAGGAAAGACTTGCCAAGTGTCATGGCACACAGTGTGGCTTCTGCAGCCCAGGGATGGCGATGTCCATCTACACGCTGCTGAGGAACCACCCAGAGCCGACCCCTGAGCAAATAATGGAAGCTCTTGGAGGTGAGCCTTCCTGGCCTTCTGCAGGCAAGACCTGAGATAGGAATTGGCCAAGTAACTAGAGAAGGAGGTCTCAGCCATGGAGAGAAGTTGTGGCACAGCTTTGGGCTTCCTCTTCACTACCTCTCTTTACCCAAGTCCTTTCCAGGCAGTGCTGCCTTCATTTTGTCATTCAAGAGGCCAAGAATTGGGGCTATATTGGTTTATCACAAAACTTTCTCCCTCAATAGAACCCATTGTCCTTCTGCAAAGCCATTCAGATGGGCTGTTTATAATACTTTCATTAGAATCTTTTCTAAAAGTGGAAATCTGGATAGTATGGAAGAACAAGATTTTGTTGTTTATTTTTAAATTAATCTGTTAGGATCATTCATGAATTCTACTTATATTAATTATGCAAAGAGAATAGGCTTTCAGATACTTTATAGTTTTATGTTCTGGTTGGGTTCATTATAAGATCAAAGAGGTCATAGATAGCAATTACTTATCATAATAAGCTTGGTGATGAATTCAATTTTCTATAACAAATAGCTGTCAAGTTTAAGTCAACAAACACCATTTTCTACAAAAAAAAGAGAGCATGTCATGTTATCAAATGTAGTCTTCTGTAACAAACATTCGTAGTTTCAAAGTAACTGGTCACTAGTTCTTAGGAGAAAGCTGTAGGAGCAAATCTCTGAATATTATAAGAAAGCTCTTGGTCCCTTTCAATAAAAGACCTAGACAGAAATTCAGTTTTATGATGAAAAGATGTAGACTAAAACAAAGTAAAAATTCAACATATATTTATGGTAACTGGTATGGAAATATTCTCTAGTTACTAGAGTCTAGTAGTTTTCCTTGTCTCTCAACAACTTCTTTACTCAAAATGTTCAGTTTCTCACTAAGTACTAAAACTTTGGGCTATGGTTTCAATGATAATTTTAACCAAACCTGAATAGATTTGAACAATAGATAATCTTTGTTCAATGAAATAACCCACACTAATGAAGTATATAGAGTTTTGAAAAATCAGATATTTTGTGGTTTTTCTTGCTTTTTTAAAAAAAATATACACAGTTTTATAGCAATGAATTATTTCCTCCCAAATTCTATGTCTGTAATTCACATAGCGACCACTATGAGTCTATGTTGTAAATTCTGGTACAAGATCTATTTTTGAAGAACATCTCTGTTCCAAAGAGCAATTTTGCTGGTTTGGGAAGCAAAACAGAATTTAATTACTATTATAACTTTCCACTGAAAGCATGAAGTACAAATATGCAGTATATTTCTATATCATTTGTTAAACATTGATCTCTTCTTAATCAGGTAATTTGTGTCGCTGTACTGGATACCGACCAATTATAGAAAGTGGAAATACTTTCTGCATGGTAAGTTAAAATAAAGAATATGTATAAAATTTTTTTCAGCTGATTTATTGTTTCTTAATCTATATTTCATTTTCTTCAATAGAGTTTGCATCTATTGAAAAGAAAACTTATTAAAAGCTCAGTATATCCTCTATGCCATGTATATAAGCTTTGAAGGAACATGTATGAAAGAGAATTAGTGAACAGGAAGGGAAGACACAGAGGAGGCTTAAGAAGACTAAGCCTGGAAAGACATGATGAGTGCATGGAGTTGCAGTAACTGACCAGCGTAGTAACCGATGATCCTAAAGAGGAGACATACTTGCGACGAGGTCTCAGTGAGGTGTTTTTCCAGCACCCATTTTTTATTGCAAAAATTAATTATATAAAATTTCTATTGACCAAAACAACTCAAGGTATACAAGTTAATTCCAAATCCTAAATATTTTTTAAAAGAAACTACTTTTAGGCCAGTAATGAAGAATTCAAAAAGCCTAGCTTATTTTAAATCCTGAGTAAAATACTATTTGAATTGAACCATATCAATTGCCAATATTCCACCATTCTTGACCCATGAAAACAACTTCATATGATTCAACCCAATGCTATGTAATTATTTCCCTGGAGATGAAATCTATAGAAAGACAGGCATTTTGTTTCACTCATTCTGGGTCCCCACATTCAGACATTTACAGTTAGTTCCTTTATTGTGCATAGCGTTGTCACAATATCCAAATCCCTTCTTAACTCCATAGGAAATTACCTTACTCAAGTCCTCCCCAGAGACTTGAGTGAAAATATAAGCCACCACTTTAGCTCTTCTTAATGTCAAAAACTGTGCGCACCTATTGCATATTTAATCTAACAAACCTCTTTGGAACATGTTTTATTTTCCTAATTTAACAAACTCAACCCAGCTAGCATGTGCTAAAGCAGGAGCTAGAACCCAGGTCTTCTTGTCTCCATGTATGAAGGCAAACTAGTGGCCTGTGAACAGCCACAGACACAGGCCGTGTCTGTACATGACAAGGGCAGACAGGAATCATTATTCACCTGAGAGCTGCAGTCCCTGACCAGTGAACTCAGGCCCAAGACACTCGTTTGGTTCTACACGAAAGGTCCTGAAAATTAAGGTCAATGGTCTGGGACTTAAATTATCCAAATAATTCAGAATAGCTACACTAACATGCAGATAAACTCAGGTGTTCCATTTCTTTAGATGTGTGTGTAGCAGGTCTTCAAGGCAGTCTGCCTTCCCATGAGTTCATTAAAGATCCAAGCTGTCTGACCCTTACAAGGAAAAAGAGCCTTTTTGTTTTGTTTTGTTTCAAGTTACCACCTTACAACTACACTCCATTTACCTCACGTTTTAGTGGGAAACCTTAACTGCTGACCAAGCACTCCTCTAACTCTCTCCATCCTCCCCTGAGACTTCAATGAGACCATTAACAAGACCCTATCATGAGCGTGGTACACGTTCCTGCCATTTCTCTAGCTGTTCAGTGAATGAATACCTTGATCCCCACCCCAGCCCATTAAGAGTCCTTGAGGGCAAGGACACACTCTATGACCTCCTCCTGTGGGGCCTGGACACTGCCTGGTACTCAGGTTAGAATTTAAAGAATCAACCAATGATTTTGTTTTAAACTGCGTTCCTTCCGAAGGCATCAAATGTTTGTCAGATGAAAGGATCGGGAAAATGTTGCATGGATCAAGAGGAAGGGTCTTTTGTGAGTAGACAGGAAAAGGTAAGTATGTTCTGCTGCAGTTGGATTTGACTGAAAAATACCCACGTAAATCCAAATGTATTCACGTTATCTACTCTTTTGGGCATAAACAACCTTCAAAAGTCCCCCAAATGGGCAGGCCCCTGACTTTCATGAGGCCAGTCACCACAAAAGGCTGTCCTCTGTCAAAAGCATTGCAACTTTCTGTGCTAATCTGGGTTTACCCCCCCGTGACCCCCAATCAGGCGACATAAGCAGTGGTGCATCTTTATGCTCATGGCAAATACGTATCTGCAAATAACACTTGAGACCTAGTCAGAAACTTAAAACCCAACTCCTGACACCCAAAGAGCCAGTCCGGAGCTCAGTAAAGCTTCCAGGGGCACCGTCATGGTCCTCCGAAGGTGGGGAGAATCCCACTGGGGGCACCCTGGGCCCTGGCACCCACCTTTAGTGTCTGAGGTGTCAAAGGATCAGGCCCTAACTCTGAAGTCCCACAGTTAGAGACTCCTGTGCATCTCCCAGTTACTCTGAAGTTCCACTTGTATTTTGTTTTGTTTTGTCGAGATATGTACCAAACTGTATAATGAAGACGAATTCCAGCCCTTGGATCCAACCCAGGAACCTATATTCCCTCCCGAACTGATAGTAAGAAACTTTACTTTTATTTCAAAACATAATGTGCTATAGTAAGTTTGTATTATCCTGTGGAATTACCGAGCTTTAGACAGTAGAAGTTGGAATTGTGTCCACTATAATAACCCCTTTCCAGGAACTTGTTCAGCTCCACTGTAAATAATTTGAAGCAGATAGTTTAGAGGCGTGGGGCTGCCAGGACCTCAGAGATGATTTGGTCCCACCCCCTTCGTTGAAGAGTCTGAGCTCAGAGCTTGTAGGTGACGTACCCAATGTCACACAGCTACTCTGTGAGATACGTTGAAGGCATTTTGTACAACCGGTCCAGTAAAATTCAAATTATACTTATTATGATGGAATTAAGTTATTTTTACAGTTAACCTCTGTGATTTCAACTCAGGTGGGAGAGAGAGCGAATAATATAATCAGTGTGATAGGCCCATCATTCTACTCCATGACTATGCCCTGGAGAGAGCATGAGATGAGGGATATGATTCTACCGGCTTTTCAGAGTCTCAGTCCCTGCACACCCCTCAGAGTGTGAGAACTTGGACACGCCTTGTATTTAAAGACTATATGCATACATATTGATATAGATATACACATGTGTATATATACATTATAACAACATCCACATACACTATGTTTTTCAAGGATAACTTTGCCTATAAGCAATTTTTATCCTACCAAAAAATCCTAATCCCAAAGATGAGGCCCCTCTGAGTCACTCTTGGGACAGAACTAGAGCGAGAAGCCAGGCCCTTTAGACACTCATCATACCATGCGGCCTCCTCTTCACACACTTACTTCACAAACAGAGTCTGCTCTACTCTATATGCAGGCATTGACGGACAGACATCCATTGACGGACAGACATCTATTATGATGTTTAATGCAGTGGTGCCTACACAAAACTTACAAATCTGGTCCCAAACAAAGCCACCCTTTCCTGTTCCCTAGAAGTTAGGTCTCATCAGAAAACTAAAATGGCCAGCGGGCCATTTGGTCACCCAGAACAGTGTATATTACCTGAAAGTCTATGGGCTTTGCTTCTCTACAGAGGATGGCAGAAGATCCAAGCAAGAGAAGGCTGACATTTCAAGGGGAAAGGACTACCTGGATTACCCCTGTGGCCCTGAATAACCTCCTGGAGCTGAAAGCCAAGTACCCCAAGGCCCCCCTTGTCATGGGGAACACTGCAGTGGGTGGGTGTTTTAAAGTCTGTTCTTTAGGCAACCCAAACACTGTGTCTCTCTTTAAACTCCTCATAAATGCAATTCATCTTTACTAGTGGATGCCTCTGCCTTTAGAATGCTTTGTTGCTTTCTTTTGCAAATGTCTTTTTTGTCACCATTTTCCCTCTTGATTATCCATAAGCAACATCTATTAGCACTCATTGACTTCCTTTCCTAATTGCTTTAAATGCTTTTCTCCTTGAGGACCCGGCATTAAATTCAAAGATGAATTCCATCCAGTTTTCATATCTCCATTTGGGCTTCCAGAACTGTATTTTGTGGACAGCACAGATAACGGTATGCACCTTCTTTTTCAAATATGTAATGATTGGCTGTTGGTGGATTGTTCATTATATAAAATGGGCTGATTTGAGCACTTCATAGAATATCTGACCTCGTTTAATAATTCAAAAAATGTTTATTGAGCATCTACTCTGTGTTTTCTGTGAGCTTTTTCAAACTAACCCACTCCACTCAGCTGTGTCACTGAGGACTGCATTGTCATGGGAGCCGTAATGGCGGGAAGGTGCCCCGTAGTTCAGCCAGGTATGGGAAGAGTGACTGAATAAGACTTAAGACATTGGCTGGCTGGTAGGAAAGCGTCTTGCTAGACATCATTATTTTTCTTTTTTTTTTCCTTCACCCGAAGATATGTTTTTATTTTATTTTTAAATATTCTTATATGTTTTTATTTATTTCAGAGAGAGAAAGGGAGAGGGAGATATAGAAACATCAGTGAGACAGGATCATTAATTAGCTGCCTCCTGCATGCCCCCTACTGGGGATCGAGCCTGCAACCCAAGCTTGTGAATCAAACCGTGATCTCCTGGTTCATAGATCGACACTCAACCCTGAGCCACACTACTGGGCTGTTTTTATTTATTTTAGAGAGAGAGAGAAACACACGCCCGGACAGGGAATCTAACCCAAAACTTAGCTATATACCCTGACCAAGATTCAAACCCACAACCTGTTGGTGTACGGGACAACGCTCCCGTGGTCGGCAAACCGAGGCTCGCGGGCCACATGCGGCTCTTTGGCCCCTTGAATGTGGCTCTTCCACAAAATACTGACTTCTGTGCATGGGCCATGAAGTTTCAATCGCACTGTACGTGAGCACCCACACGTGGTATTTTGAGGAAGAGCCACACTCAAGGGGCCAAAGAGCCGCATGTGGCTCAGGAGCCGCGGTTTGCCCAGCTGCAGTTTGCCAACCACTGCTAACCAACTGAGCTCGCTAGACATTACTTTCTGATTCACAAATTTGTTTAAGGCTCATCTACACCCACACACACACACTCACTCACACACACACACACACACACACACACACACACAAACTAGACTACAAAATTTGAACGTTTAGCTGTGAACAATAACCTTATTTATTTTACGTTCTTTTAACAATTTAGCAAGTGCTTTCATATCTCATTTCTCTTTATCCTCACAACAGCCCTGGGAAGTATACATAGCAGGCAGCCTTGGGATCTCTGTTCTCCCAAACATTTGTAGAGTTAAAGGCTGAAATACCTTCCCAACTTCGCACAGCTATCAATCGGTTAAGTTGGGACTAGATCCCATGTCTTCTTACTCTTAGTCAAGTACTCCTTTGCATGATGCAGCAAATAAGGCTGCCTGAGAAACATATCCCACCATCCACTACCAAAACTCAGCATCTGAATGGAGAACACGCTACAGGAGCTAAAAATGCTACATAAAATGGGTTCTCCCCAGTGAGTAAATAGCAATCAAACGGAAAATTGTCTGCTTCCCTTCTGACCTGCTAATCTGAAGTCAGTCTGCCCATTAATTCTGTTCACCTTTTACACTCCCAGAAAGAGGTGGAGCAGGGGGAAGCCAGGCTGGTGCGGGGGGAGTGGGGGTTTGGAAGGAAGATTATGGAAGTACTTGGTGAGGGGGGGAGCAAGGGTTGGGGAGGTAGAGCCTACAGAATCAAAGCCAATGTTTCTCAATCTCTTTATTGCTGCCTCTCAGAGGGGCAATAGAACTTTTTTCTCTAATCATCTCTCCATGAAATTTTAAAACCACAGAGAGACAATGTATCTTTTTATGTACAGTATGTATATCAGAGCTTTATACATAAAAAGGAAAAGGTTTTTTTCACCCCCTTTGGGGCAGTATTGCCCCCCTTAAGAATACCTCCTACTGGTTTGGCTCAGTGGATAGAGCATCAGCCTGTGGACTCAAGGGTCCCAGGTTCGATCCAGGTCAAAGGCATGTACCTTGGTTGCGGGCACATCCTCAGTAGGGAGTGTGCAGGAGGCAGCTGAATCGATGTTTCTCTCTCATTGATGTTTCTAACTCTCTATCCCTCTCCCTTCCTCTCTGTAAAAAAATCAATAAAATATATTTTTAAAAAAGAATACATAAACTAGATGACATCACTACTCAAAGCATCCCCTGTGAGTTCACCTGCAGTAAACCGACCCGAGGCACAGGTGGGTGTCTATTCTCGTTCTGATAAGGGAACAGTAGGAAGCAACGGCTCTGGAAGGAAGGCAAGCGGGCAACGCGAACGTGCAGGTCAAGTCCCACTCGGGCTTACTGAGCTTTTAAGAACCTTATAAAATCTTGGCTGCAAATTTTATATTTGATCAATACATTCCAGAAAACACTAAATTAGAAATAAACTAATAAATTTCAAATATCTGTGGTTGAAATATATTAGCGTATATGCATATATGACCGTACACGTGACTGAGAAAAAGAATTTGGTACCTAATATCTGGGAATAATGAAAATTGACAGAAATGAGCTTCATCTTTGGTTCCTGTCATTCTCAGTTAATGAGAAAAGGGAAGATCTATTCGAAAGGTGGCTTCCATGCAGCCCAGGTGTCTTTTTCCTTTAAGGTTTCATGCCAGTGTTTTACTTTCAGGGGTGACCATCGGGGCGGGCTACAGCCTCGCCCAGCTGAATGATGCCTTAGGTTTTATTGTTTCGGAGCAACCAAAGGAGAAGACTAAGACCTACCGTGCCCTCCGGACGCACCTGAGGACGCTTGCCGGAGTCCAGATCAGGAGTATGGCGGTAGGTTCTCTAGTGTCATAGGAAATGGGCCATAGGTACAGTCAGCCATACAGTTCTGTTCAGTTGAGCAAACATCACTCTGAAGAGGAAACCCAACAAGGCAGTGTTGAATAAATCTCTGCAACATGAGTGTGTGTGTGTGTGTGTGTGTGTGCACATGCGCAGAGCGCTCGAGAAGGTCACATTGTGTGCATGTGTGTGCCCAGAGTAAGAAGCAGCATATTATATAACAAGATTATGCTCCTGGAATCTGATGGGGCCCAAATTCTAATCTCAGCCTGTCACTTGTGAGTGGCATGATCCTGGAGAAACCATTTTAAGCCACTGTTTCTCCATTGTAAAAATTAAGCCCGGACAGCATGGCTCAGTGGTTGAGCACCAACCTATGAACCAGGAGGTCACAGTTCGATTCCTGGTCAGAGCACATGCCCGGGTTTCCGGCTTGATCCTCAGTAGGCAGATGGCAGCTGATTAATGATTCTCTCTCATCATTGATGTTTCTATTCCTTTCTCCCTCTTCCTTCCTCTCTGAAATTAAAAATAAAAATTAAGGTTCAACCCAATGGACTGTCTCTAAGATCCTGTCTGGTTCTAACAGTCTGTGAAAGGTGTCTTATCCAAGGTTTAGTAAACAAGAGCCTGCCTTTCTGAAATACTCTTTTATGGATGGTTCTCCTCTTAGAGCTTTGCGATGAGGTCAGTTTCCAAACATGTGTATCCCAAATGTCAACTCTTGGACATCCCCAGTTATCTAGTTTATCAAGGTTTCCTATTATCTAAGATTTAAGAGAAATTTGGTTCAAACCACTACCCATTCCACACAAGGTGAGTAGTTCAGTGGCGCTGAGAGGGGGACACATTTTTCCTAGTTGTCTCTGGCTCTATTTCTGTTGATTCTCAAAATCCACCATATGTTTTCACCTTGGGCATCTTCTATCCCTTTTTCTGGATCATGTTTTCCTCTCATCATCTTGCCTTCTTAGCTCCCTTCAAATGTCCTCCTTATTGACAGTTTGGGCACAGCAGCACCGCAAACATTTAGAAAATGAGTTCCATTTCCCGGTTCTTTAGAGTTTCCTCAGGCTGCAGTCTGCATCTTCCCCTGTGTTACAGAACACTCACTCTAGGGCCAGTTCTCAGAGACAGCTGTCTCCTCGTTACACATGGGAAAGGAATATTTTCTCAGGCAATGAGTCTGAATGGAGTCAGGGGTCAGAACCTTGCCCCGTATGTTGTCCGAATCTACTTCACTGCCCCAAAGCTCTGCCAGATCTTTCTACGATGCAGAGAAGAGAATTAAAAAGCTTACACAAGATCCCTGCATGCATAACTGCTTATCTGTTAAATAGCTAAGAGTAGCTATAAAGAAATGTCTCCTTTATTTATTTAGACTTTAGGAGGACATGTGGTGAGCAGGCCGAATTTTTCTGACCTAAATCCAATTTTAGCAGCAGGAAGTGCTACCATCAATCTGATATCTAAAGGTAAGAGACCAATTTTAAGCATTTTGTTTTATAATTATCAATGTCAGGTACCTCCTTCCATGAGCTATGACCTGGGAACCCAAGTATATCCAACTTAGACTTACCAAATACATATAGGTGACAACTACATTCCCTCAAACATAAGGATGAAGCTGAGATCAATTATCCTGTTCTCTAGATATTCTGTATCTCATAGATAAGTTACTGCACCAAATAATTTTTCTTAACTGTTTGGTCACATTCATCACAGTCCAAAAGCAGTTATCAAAAAATGTCTGAGGTGCATCTCTGTGGTTTCAAAGTTTTATGGCATATTTGATTTCAGAGTTTCATAAAGGTGGAATTTTTCTTCTAGGACTTTTCATTTTAAACAAAATCAACTTTGTGGGGCACATGACTCATTACTTCTCTCTTTATTCACAACCGGTTTAATCCTTGCCAAGGGAAAATGATTGTACTTAAGGAAATAAAAGCAGTGCATATTATTCATAGAACTATTGTTGTAACCCTGTCTTTGATTAAAATCACATTTAAAAAATATGGTGGATCAAATAAGAAAGCAGGGCAAACTGCTTAAAGAAAAGAAGCTATATCTGAGGCACCCACCTCTGCCACTAGTCCCACCTCCAGCACTTGGGACAGGTCATCTAACCTCTCCGGACCTCTGGACCTCAGGTTTCCCATGTGTGAAATACATTCTCCCCATTTCCCGTTTGTGAAACTGGGTTGCTTCTGTATAGCCTTTCAGCTTATCTGGCCCAACCCTTTCATTCCAACAATGAGGAACCAGAAGCCCCAAAGGTTCTGGGACTTCCCTAAGGAGACACAGCGTGGAACCTGGAGCTAGAACCCACATTGTCTGGCCCCCAGCCATCACTCTCTCTCTTTCACCGAATACATCCCCTCTGCCCTTGGCTGTATATTCTCCAATTGAATATGTGCATTCTAATCAAGGTCATTTCTCTGACAGAAGGAGAACGGCAGATTCCTTTAGACGGCCATTTCCTTGAGAGATCGCCTGAAGCTGACCTTAAGTCAGAAGAGATTGTGTTATCTGTGTATATTCCCCACTCTACACAGGTAAGGACTCCTGACCCGCTGCCCGCCCAGGGGCACCCTGAACCCTGTGCAGGAGCCATAGACAGACTCCCAGGGATAGTGCCTTCTCCTTTCCCAACCAGCAGCTGCAGGGAGACGATTGGTCTGTGCTCAGGAATGGCCAGATTCTCAATGACCATTTCATTTGCTTTCCTATCAGGGCCATCTTGAGCTTTTGTGGACCTTGGACATTTTTGCCTTCATGGGTCTCTGTTCATAAAAAATCAAATCAATGACCATCCTATATAATAAAAGCATAATATGCTAATTAGACTGGACGTCCTTCCGGACGAAGCTGGGGCTGCCAGGGAAGCCCAGGTCCCAGGTGCCAGAGGAAAGCTGGTGCCGGCAGCCGGGGGAAGGAAGGCTTACTCTTGCACGAATTTCATGCATTGGGCCTCTAGTGTTATTACAAAGATGAATATAACCCAGTGTTATATATTCATTGTTACTATATTCATCTTTTCTTTTGTTTTTAAAAGAATTTAAAAGAAAAACATTTCTGTGGGCCTTCTCTCTGCAAAGAAGAGCCTTTTGTGTGAGCAGCTGAATTTTTAGTTTCAGATAAATATGCATTTTAGCCAAGACTGAGGCAAACTATCGCCAATATCACCTCCCATAAGTTCCTGGTGAACTGAAAGTTCATTACCATAAAATACTTCCAAGTCAACCAACATTTGTTAACCAAATACTTTAAATAAAATTTAAAGTCAGGCATGGGGCTAAATCCAGGAGACACCACGCTGATGTATAAGACACAGTGTCCTGTCTTCCAAGGTCTGTAAATCTCAAAGGAAGGGCTTGAGATAGGAAACAGGAAATGAGTGGACAAAAAGCTGGGGTGGTTCCTGTGATGGGGAGAGTCCTCCCCTGTGTTGTTCAAAAGGGAAGGGAAGCATAGGTCAGTGGAGAGAAGAGGGTGGTCATTTCAGGTGAGAGAACAGCATGAGGATGGGGATTGGGGTGAATGGCAGCTGGAGGAGCCCCATGAAATGAGACTGGATGGGAGCTGGGGCCCCATATCTATTGCTTCATCAGGAGCTGGTACATGTTCTAGCAGACAACCACCTCGGAAGCAAGGTAAAATCTTAATAAGTGGTATTTTAAGAATATCAATCCACTGGAAAGATCGAGGAAAAATTGGTTGGAGGGTAGACTGAAGGTTGAATGAATAGTTAGGAGGCTAATGCAACAATTCAGGTGGGAGAAGGTAATGAGGGTGGTGGCAGCAGGAATGGAAAGTCCCCCCAGTCAGTACATAGAGTAAATGTGACGAGTGTCTCCAGCACTTCCTTATCACCTTTGCTTTCCAAATCAAAAATGTTTTATCCTTGACAGGGTCCGTGGTGGTAGGGTTACCTTCTCCCCCACCCCACCAAGATACTGGCCACACAAAGAGATGTTCTCCCGTTTTGTCACTCTAATATTTAACACTAATCATGAAATTTAACCTAAAATGACAAATTTAAACCTGAAAAACACTGGAAGCCATTTAGTGCTGTAGTTTTCAAGCTTTGTTTTTTTTTTTTTAACAGTAGAATTCTTTCTGCAAATGAAATTTACATAGAACACCAAACTAGTTAAAAGTGAAGGTTTGGTAGTTTGCTCTGAGAGACACCCCACCTCTGGATCCTCCCCTCATCCTTTGAGGCACCATCTGATCAAACCCAACCTTCTCCTTTTAAAGAAAATTAAGACCCAAACAGTTTAAGTTGTTTGCCCGAAGCCAGGTGAGGTGATTTGGAGTTGAAAGTAGATCAGCATAGACTCTGAAGCCAGACGGCTAGGGTTTGAACCCCAGCTCTGCCACTTACTGTGTGACCTTGTGTAAGTTAGTTAACCTCTCAGTTCCCTCATCAGTAAATTGGAAATGAGTACAGTTACTGTGAGAATTAAATATTAACATACTAGCAGGTAAAACACACGGGCCAGTGCTCACATACCATCAGCTCTACAGTTAATAACAGTGAGAATTCCAGACCATTAGCAGGGTCCTTTTTATTATTAATAATCACCTAAGTGCCCTGTTTGTCACACAGTAGAGACAAGCACAAACCTTTCTGAGTGTTTTTTTTTTCTTTATTGATTATGGTATTACATATGTGTCCTTATTCCTCCAGTGGCACTTTGTGTCGGGACTGCGGCTGGCCCAACGCCAGGAGAATGCCTTTGCCATTGTCAATGCCGGGATGAGTGTGAAGTTTGAAGATGGCACAGACACAATCAAGGACCTTAAAATATTCTATGGGCGTGTTGGCCCCACTGTGGTCTCTGCAAAGCAAACCTGCAAGCAGCTCATCGGGAGGTAGGTCACAGCACATCCAGAACATAGAACCCAGGCCTTCCTATTTTACTGAAAATAGCACGTAGAGATTTTTTTCTGATTATAAAATATAGCTATATATTCATTTAAAAAATTTAATTGCTGCCAAAAAAATAGGATAACGAAAATAAAAGTCACCCCCAAACCAACATATTTCAAGGTACAGTAATTTTTGTTGTTGTTTCTGTAATAAGATTACTGCACAAATTAATAAAAGTAGATATAACCTTCAAATTTTCACTTTTAATTAACCTACACAGTAAGTAAACATTTCCAATACTGTGTCCTAAGATATCTGAACATTTCCTTAAACCACATAAAGAGGATGAAATATTCTAAAAGGTTAAATGGCCTTCCTCTCGTCACTCTCAATACAGAGAACATCTTGATGGTCGCACCTGGGGTGGGGGGAGAGAAAGTGGGCACAAATGGAAGAAGGGGGTTGAAAAGTACAAACTTCCAGCTATAAAATGAGTAATTCACGGGAATTTAATGTATAGCATGGTGACTATCCTATATAATAAAAGCCTATTATGCTAAGTGTCCCATCGTCCGGTGGTCCATTCAACCTATCAAAGCGTAATATGCTAATGATATGCTAAAGCCACTCAACCGCTCTCTATGACGTCCACTGGCCACCAGGGGGCAGACAGTTGTCTGGTAGACCAGTTGCTATGACATGCACTGGCCACCAGAGGGCAGACGCTCCAACCGGTAGATTAGCTTGCTGCTGGGGTCCAGCTGATTGGGACTGAGTGAGATAGGCCAGACACACCCTGGAGCCTTCCCACAGTCCCTACCCTCCTGGCCAACTTCCGGAATCCCTCCCTGGCCCCAATCATGCACCAGTGGACTCCCTTGGCCTGGCTTGTGCCCTCTTGCAATCCGGGACCCCTCAGGGGATGTCAGAGAGCCAGTTTCAGCCTGATCCCGCAGGCCAGGCCGAGGGACCCCACTAGTTAATAATGCTGTATTTTGTATTTAAAAGTTAAGAGAGTAGATATTTATAATTCTCATCACACTCTGGCCTGGTGGCTCGGTTGGTTGAAGCATCATCCCATACACCAAAAGGCTGTGGGCTCGATTCCCGGTCAGGGTACATACCTAGATTGTGGGTTCGATCCCCAGTTGGGGCACATTCAGGAGGCAACAGATCGATGTTTCTCCCACTGCATCAGATTCTAAATAAAGCAGGTGAAATATTTAAGGATATTTTATGTCGACTTCAAAGATGGCTACAGATTGCTCCCCATCTTCCCTTGTTCTATCAGTTTAGTGTGTCTTCGCCTCATCTGTGGAATGTTTGCATTCTTCCCTACTAGGCAATGGGATGACCACATGCTGAGCGATGCGTGCCGATTGGTCCTGGATGAGATTTACATTCCGCCAGGAGCTGAGGGTGGCATGGTAGAATATAAGCGAACCCTCATGATCAGCTTACTCTTCAAATTCTACCTCAAAGTGAGGCGAGGACTGAATAAAATGGTAAACGACTTCTCTGAGACTCTGGGTGCCTTGACATTCTGAGTGGGAGTCTGCACAGGAAGGACTTGCCCTGCATGGTTTTGATACCCATCAAGGGCACTGAGTATGGGCCCTTCTCGCTCTTCTTTGTTCCTCTCCTTCCCTTCTCCTTCACTATTGGGCTGAGAAGGGGACAATCTTGGTGTTCTATTTGCCCTATAATTTGTATAACAAATACTAATATGCATGCAAGTTGACCTGCTGTCACAAAAAACCTTCAGTAAGTAAATCATAACATCTTTCCCTATTTTAAGAAAAAAAATGTTAATAACCCAACTTTAATATTTAGAAAATGTGAATAAGCCAGAAAAGAGGAAAAAGCATTTGTAATCCTATCACTGTAGCTAGCCACTATTAATATTTTGATATGTATCCTTCTAAAACCTTCTTTATGGATGTGTATGTATATATGCCACATATATACACCCATAGAACTGGTTGCTTATTTCACTTTGTAATATAAACTTCTCTCAGTGTCATTAAATATTTTTCAGTGACATTATGACATAAGTTTACATGTCATGTTTATGGAAAGATGTACCATTATTTGGTACATGTTCTAGCAGACAACCACCTCGGAAGCAAGGTAAAATCTTAATAAGTGGTATTTTAAGAATATCAATCCACTGGTAAGATAGAGGAAAAATTGGTTGGAGGGTAGACTGAAGGTTGAATGAATAGTTAGGAGGCTAATGCAACAATTCAGGTGGGAGAAGGTAATGAGGGTGGTGGCAGCAGGAATGGAAAGTCCCCCCAGTCAGTACATAGAGTAAATGTGACGAGTGTCTCCAGCACTTCCTTATCACCTTTGCTTTCCAAATCAAAAATGTTTTATCCTTGACAGGGTCCGTGGTGGTAGGGTTAGCTTCTCCCCGACCCCACCAAGATACTGGCCACACAAAGAGATGTTCTCCCGTTTTGTCACTCTAATATTTAACACTAATCATGAAATTTAACCTAAAATGACAAATTTAAACCTGAAAAACACTGGAAGCCATTTAGTGCTGTAGTTTTCAAGCTTTGTTTTTTTTTTTTTTTAACAGTAGAATTCTTTCTGCAAATGAAATTTACATAGAACACCAAACTAGTTAAAAGTGAAGGTTTGGTAGTTTGCTCTGAGAGACACCCCACCTCTGGATCCTCCCCTCATCCTTTGAGGCACCATCTGATCAAACCCAATCTTCTCCTTTTAAAGAAAATTAAGACCCAAACAGTTTAAGTTGTTTGCCCGAAGCCAGGTGAGGTGATTTGGAGTTGAAAGTAGATCATCATAGACTTTGAAGCCAGACGGCTTGGGTTTGAACCCCAGCTCTGCCACTTACTGTGTGACCTTGTGTAAGTTAGTTAACCTCTCAGTTCCCTCATCAGTAAATTGGAAATGAGTACAGTTACTGTGAGGATTAAATATTAACATACTAGCAGGTAAAACACACGGGCCAGTGCTCACATACCATCAGCTCTACAGTTAATAACAGTGAGAATTCCAGACCATTAGCAGGGTCCTTTGTATTATTAATAATCACCTAAGTGCCCTGTTTGTCACACAGTAGAGACAAGCACAAACCTTTCTGAGTGTTTTTTTTTTCTTTATTGATTATGGTATTACATATGTGTCCTTATTCCTCCAGTGGCACTTTGTGTCGGGACTGCGGCTGGCCCAACGCCAGGAGAATGCCTTTGCCATTGTCAATGCTGGGATGAGTGTGAAGTTTGAAGATGGCACAGACACAATCAAGGATCTTAAAATATTCTATGGGCGTGTTGGCCCCACTGTGGTCTCTGCAAACCAAACCTGCAAGCAGCTCATTGGGAGGTAGGTCACAGCACGTCCGGAACATAGAACCCAGGCCTTCCTATTTTAATATTTTAATGAAAATAGCACTTAGGATTTTTCTCTGCTTATAAAATATAGCTATATATTCATTTTAAAAATTTAATTGCTGAAAAAAAAAAGATAAGGAAAATAAAAGTCACCCCAAAACCAACATATTTCAAGGTACAGTAATTCTTTTTTTGTCGTTTCTGTAATAAGATTACTGCACAAATTAATAAAAGTAGATATAACCTTCAAATTTTCACTTTTAATTAACCTACATTTCCAATGCTGTGTCCTAAGATATCTGAACATTTCCTTAAACCACATAAAGAAGATAAAATATTCTAAAAGGTTAAATGGCCTTCCTCTCGTGACTCTCAATACAGAGAACATCTTGATGGTTGCACCTGGGGTAGGGGGGGAGAGAAGGTGGGCACAAATGGAAGAAGGGGGTTGAAAAGTACAAACTTCCAGCTATAAAATGAATAATTCACGGGAATTTAATGTATAGCATGGTGACTATCCTATATAATAAAAGCCTAGTATGCTAAGTGTCCCATCGTCCGGTCATCCATTCAACCTATCAAAGCCTAATATGCTAATGATATGCTAAGGCCCTCTCTATGACGTCCACTGGCCACCAGGGGGCAGTTGTCTGGTAGACCAGTTTCTATGACATGCACTGGCCACCAGAGGGCAGACGCTCCAACCGGTAGATTAGCTTGCTGCTGGGGTCCAGCCTATTGGGACTGAGTGAGATGGGCCAGACACACCCTAGAGCCTTACCACAGTCCCTAAGCAGCTGGCAAACTTCCCTAATCCCTCCCTGGCCCCAATCATGCACCAGTGGGGTCCCTCAGCCTGGCCTGTGCCCCCTTGCAATCCGGGACCCCTCAGGGGATGTCAGAGAGCCAGTTTCAGCCTGATCTCGCAGGCCAGGCCTAGGGACCCCACTAGATAATAATGCTGTAATTTGTATTTAAAAGTTGTTAAGAGAGTAGATCTTTAAAATTCTCATCACACTCTGGCCTGGTGGCTCGGTTGGTTGAAGCATCATCCCATACACCAAAAGGCTGTGGGCTCGATTCCCGGTCAGGGTACATACCTAGATTGTGGGTTCGATCTCCAGTTGGGGCACATTCAGGAGGCAACAGATCGATGTTTCTCCCTCACATCGATGTTTCTCTCACTGCATCAGATTCTAAATAAAGCAGGTGAAATATTTAAGGATATTTTGTGTCGACTTCAAAGATGGCTACAGATTGCTCCCCATCTTCCCTTGTTCTATCAGTTTAGTGTGTCTTCGCCTCATCTGTGGAATGTTTGCATTCTTCCCTACTAGGCAATGGGATGACCACATGCTGAGCGATGCGTGCCGATTGGTCCTGGATGAGATTTACATTCCGCCAGGAGCTGAGGGTGGCATGGTAGAATATAAGCGAACCCTCATGATCAGCTTACTCTTCAAATTCTACCTCAAAGTGAGGCGAGGACTGAATAAAATGGTAAACGACTGCTCTGAGTCTCTGGGTGCCTTGACATTCTGAGTGGGAGTCTGCACAGGAAGGACTTGCCCTGCATGGTTTTGATACCCATCAAGGGCACTGAGTATGGGCCCTTCTCGTCCTTCTTTGTTCCTCTCCTTCCTTTCTCCTTCACTACTGGGCTGAGAAGGGGACAATCTTGGTGTTCTATTTGCCCTATAATTTGTATAACAAATACTAATATGCATGCAAGTTGACCTGCTGTCACAAAAAACCTTCAGTAAGTAAATCATAACATCTTTCCCTATTTTAAGAAAAAAAATGTTAATAACCCAACTTTAATATTTAGAAAATGTGAATAAGCCAGAAAAGAGGAAAAAGCATTTGTAATCCTATCAGTGTAGCTAGCCACTATTAATATTTTGGTATGTATCCTTCTAAAACCTTCTTTATGGATGTGTATGTATATATGCCACATATATACACCATAGAACCGGTTGCTTATTTCACTTTGTAATATAAACATCTCTCAGTGTCATTAAATATTTTTCAGTGACATTATGACATAAGTTTGCATGTCATGTTTATGTACCATTATTTGGTCTATTCCTTATTTTTAGACATTTAGATTGTTTCTAATTTTTTATTAACTTTTTTTTCCTTTTTAGCCTAGTTTAAAATGACTTCCACAGCAGTTCCTCAAAATATGGCCCACAACTGAGTGTCCTCTTAACTCATGAACTGACTCACAAATGGCAGATAAATGATTATACCCACATTTCTTTTATGCCTGAGAATTTTACTCTCTTAGTTCAGCTAGCCTTTTTATTATTATTTTATTAACATTATTTATTAGTAGTATTATCATATTCTATTATGTTTTATTATATACCCTATTATGTGTTATATCATATTTCAGTATATTAATATGTAATCAGTATATATCTAATATATTATTGTATGTAATCTATTAAATATATGTTTTTATTTTCTATTTATTATATATTATCATATATTCTCTAAAATATGACATGTTCTATTATGTTATATATTCTATCATAGAATTTAAAATGCAGAGAAACAAAATTTTAAAAAATCAACTCTAATCCAGTAATCCTACAATTAACATATGAATACATACTTTTATATTTTTAAGTTGAAAAAATGGAATCATACTGTACACAAGTTTTTTCACTTAATTGTATTTCATGAGCATTTTCAATGTCAATAAGTACACTTCTACAAAATTATTTTTAATGACTGCAGAATATTGTATCTTATGGATATACCATAATTTGTGTAGCCATTTCCTTGTTGTTGGGTGTTTAGTTTAATTCTAGTTTCTTCACTGGCACAAATAGTCTGTAATTGGGCACCCTTGTAGATAACTCACAAGTCATCTTTGCCTACTCCCTCAGTTGTTTCTTTGAGGTACATGCCCAGGAGGTTGGCTTGGATTTGAAAGCACAGATCCATTTAGAAGTATATACATACTTCCACTCGTTCAAAAAGGAGACCTGGTCATGAAGGGAGTTCTTCCCTTCCTGGAAAAAGCATTCACTTTTCTGTGCACATAAGTAGATGCAGTTATTCTTCAAATAACTGCTACCAGCCTAGGGAACTTGAAGCTCAGGGCTCTCCCGCAGAACTGGCATCTAATATCTGAAATACTTCTACACGAGTTTCCAAGCTAGTCACTCAGATTGTAAAATTGAATATCAAGTAATCTTCTTTCTAGGATCCCCAGAAGTTTCCTGATATCCCAGAAAATTTCATGAGTGCTGTAGACAATTTCCCCATAGGAACACCCCGAGGACTTCAGATGTTCCAGGTTGGTGGGTAGGGTTTTTGCTTTCTAGTAGGCTTAGTCATTCAGATGTATGCATTACACATGTGTTTCCCCCTTTTCAATAGCCATATTTTGTGTTACATGTAAAGATAAAATCTACTGAAACCAGCTGATGTGACCCATTGTCACCCACACACAACTTGCTTGGTTTAGCGTTTATGTTTTTACTCAAGACTACACAAAGAATTTGATTTTGAATCTCCCTTCTTAACTATTTTCAGCTTTTTTACTTAAAATTTCCTCCTTTCCTTGGCCACTGTTGGTCCTTTTTTTAAAACCTCACTCAACATTTACTGCTTCTAGGAAGTCCTCCCTGCTTTATAAGAGCCACCCAGAATCTCCCAGGAAACTGTGTGTTTTCCTAACACCATATTAGCTGTGTAAATTATTCTTTATTACTCTATGAAATTGATCACATTATGTTAATGTATGTGTTCTGATTCCTCAACAAGGTTGTAGAATCCTTGAGGGCAGGAACAATGTCATCTTGTGTGTGGGAGGGGTCAGGGGGAGGAGTTGGTTAGAGCCTGTAACCAAGAATATATTCCTTACCATAATACTCAATGGATATTTATTAACTCTGACTCATAGCTAGAGATACCCAGTTGCCCGTTGTTTTTCTTGGCTTGTAAGTAATCCAAATATAACAGACCCAATGTTCAGTGCATGAGAATGTCTGGCAGTAAAATAACAGGCTTTTTTCATGAACAGTGTGTGAATCCCCACCAACCTCCTCAAGATCCAGTCGGCCACCCCATGATGCACCAGTCAGCCATTAAACATGCCACTGGGGAAGCCGTGTACGTTGATGACATGCCCCCCATCGCCCAAGAACTCATCCTGGCGGCAGTTACCAGCACCAGAGCTCATGCAAAGATAATGTAAGGAAATAAAAGCTGTCCCTATAAAAGTTACTGAAATGCATTAATAATTTTATACTTAAACCGAGAGCTTACTGTATATGTAAGTCAATTAAAAGTATTTCCTCTTCTGGATGGGAATCATTCATTTTTAAAGCATAGTTATGAAAAAACCTATGGCCAAGAGTCAGAATACCAACGTATTGTCCATGATGTAGTTATGAGGCCCATTGCACTTTTCCCCAGTGTTGGCGGAATCATGTATAGCGTACCCTGAACTTACCCCTGCAACTCTAATGTATACTTTTACATGTTCTCTCCTAGAGCAATTGATGTTTCAGAAGCCCTGGCACTTCCCGGTGTTGTTGATGTGATAACAGCAGAAGATGTTCCGGGAGATAATAACCATAATGGAGAGGTTCTCTATGCACAGAACGAGGTGTGTGATTTGTATGTGACTTAGGATTCAAATACTTTGTGGAAAATGCCATATCACAAAGACTTTCAGAGAACCAAGGACTCCACCTCATTTTCAATTGTGGACTCTTTAGAGATTCTCATAAAAACCATAATCGTGCTTAAGGAAGACTTCTTTAAAAAATTCATAAAAGTCCCAGAAGCAATAAAAGCATCGGCCATTAAGAGAACCAACAGAACTTCAGGAATTTCAGGATGGCTGGATCCCCGTGAGTGATTTCGGAACAGTGAGCAGTGTAGCTGAGGACAGTCCTAGGCAAGACATAATCAAGTTCTGCATCCAATTCTGAACCCCCTAAGTCCCACTCAAGCCATTGTTTTAAATGTATTCTCATAGGCAGGAAATAATCTTGCTTTTGTTCACAGGAACCCAGGGGGTAAATGTAAGAACTTGGGAACAGTAAATCCTTTTTAGTGATTCTATGTTTCAAGCAATTACATTGAACATGTGACTTTTCTACAGGTAATTTGCGTGGGTCAGATCGTCTGCACCGTGGCCGCTGATACCTATGCCCATGCGAAAGACGCCGCTAAGAAAGTGAAGATCGCTTATGAAGACATAGAACCTCGGATTATCACAATAGAGGTATTCGAGCTGCTTTGTTTCTCCAAGAATGACTAGGGTGATGTACTTGTGGCAGAATCCAATCCTCAGAGTCACAGAATAGTACAACCTGGGCTTCATCTATGCTTTACTCAGTGTCATCTCCAAGTTGAGACATGATACTGAGAATTTTCCTGCCTGGAGCCCCATTCCTTCCTGTGTCCACGTCTCCTTGAAAGGCCTCTCGCCAATGCCTGGCCTGAGAATATAGACAAGCAGCACCAGAGGAAGGTCCTTACACCTTCACATACAAAACGAGTCCGTGAGAAAGCCCAGAGCACTGTGACACTCAGAGCAGGTTACCACTGAGTGACAGCTTGGGTCCTCTTGACCTCCATGCCTACTCCCTACTTTAAGCACAAGTTCTGGAGATAGAAAACTCAGATGCATATTCTGACTCTGCCATTTAACAGGCTGTTAAACGGAAGCTTTGGCAAGTTCCTTAAATGCATCATATCTCAACCTCTTCCTCTGTGAAATGGGAACTATGAAAGTTCCTACATGAAAGGTCATCATGAAGCTTAAATGAGAGAATCCACATAAAGTGCTTTAAAAAAGCACCTGGAACATGGGGTGCTTTGAATACATGTTAGCTGTGATTTTATTTTAGTTGTTGTTGTTAATGAGGGCAAGAACACATTCATGGTGCTTATATCCCTGGGGCCCAGCCAAGCCCTAAACCCATAGTAGGTACTCAATAAATGTGTGTGATGAAGGAATAGATGCATAAGCAATATGAAACCTGGCCAGTAGGGTACAGTGTTCACAACCCTCTGAAACCCGGCCAGTAGGGTACAGTGTTCATCATCCTCTGTGATTCTCCCCTGTTTTTCCAAACAGATGCCAAGTTCAAGTATTTTCCAGTTATCTTTTAAATGCCTCTTAGATGTGCCCCTTTTTTTCTCTTCTCACTTTCACCCCTTCCCACTCTCCAGGCCAGTCCTCACCACCTTATTGTCAGATTTACTACAATAACCACTTTATCTCAAAATATCTACCTACCATGTTAATTTTCTAAGCCTCAAAGTTCATCAGATCACTTTTTCTTACAAAAAAAAAAATGTCCCCTTAGACAAGGTTCTTAGTATAAAACTCAAGGTCTTTCATAGTCCAACCTCACTCTATCTTTCAAGTTCATCCAACTGCTTATTTATCTATCTATTTGTTTATTTTTATAGAGAAAGAGAGAGAAAAAACAAAGAGACATTGATTTGTTGTTCCACTTATCTATGCATTCGTTGTTTGATTCTTGTATGTGCCCTGCCCTGAATGGGGACTGAACCCAAAACCAATGCTCTAACCAACTGAGCTACCTGGCCATGGCAGAACTGCTTCTTTTCTTAAGAAATATGTTTTTATTGATGAGAGAGAGAGAAAGAGAGAGAGAGAGAGAGAAACATCGATTGGCTGCCTCCTGCATGCCCCCTAATGGGGATTGACCGTGCAACCCCAGGCATGTGCCCTGACAGGGAATCGAACCGGTAAACTATCAGTGCACTAGACGACACTCAACCAACTGAGCCACACTGACCAGGGCTCAGCTACTTCTTGATAGAAAACTCCCCAGCCAATCTAGCCTTGTTCTCATTTTGGTCCCACAGCTGGATTTTAACCTCTGTTGCTTTATGAGATGCTCTTGATTTCAAATGATTTGCAGTTTCTTCTCTGTCTGCCCTAATCCTATCCAATTCAGCACCTGAGGTCACCTACACAGGCCATCTCTGAGCATCCCCAGCCCCAGCAGGTCCTCCTCTTGGCCTCTCTTTGATCTATTATCTTCCCCCTCATCACAAAGTTGGCCCCTAACACCAAACTGCCTACTGTCAGCAAACCAGGGGGTAAGATTGTGTTTTATACATCCTTCTTCCCCCCAGCTCTTCCTCCCAGTGCTGAACAGACTACTAGTAAGTAGTCACCAATGCCTGCAATCCATTGTGACCCAATTGTCTTGGTGTGTGAAGATCTGATAGAGCAGGAGCATGGGATTTTGCTGGGGTTTGAATGGCTTATTAGAATGTAAAAAAATAAATAAAAACAAGAATCTTATTTTTTGTTGTTGTTATTTCTTTTTCCCCTGCAGCAAGCCCTAGAGCACAATTCATTTCTTTCTGATGAGAGGAAAATTGAGCAGGGAAATGTAGAGCAAGCCTTTAAACATGTTGATCAAATCATTGAAGGTAAGTGGTCTTGGCTAGAAAAGTGAAGCTTCTGGAGATAAAGACTACATCGGCCATTGGTTTGAGAAATACTGAAATTCTAAGGCAGAGCTTCTCAACCCTAATGTGATACTTAAACTGCAATTTAAAATGCACAAATAAGTCCCGGCCAGTGTTGCTCAGTGGTTGAGCGCCGACCTATGATCCAGGAGGTTATGGTTTAATTCCCAGTCAGAGCACGTGCCCCGATTGCAGGCTCAATCCCCAATATGGGGTGTGCAGGAGGTAGCCCTTCAATGATTCTCTCATCATTGTTGTTTCTCTCTCTCCCCCTGCCTTCCTTTCTGAAATCAATAAAAATATATTTAAAATAAATAAAATGCACAAATAATCTTACAGTCTGATGAAGTTTTACATATGCAGCAATCTGTGTAAATACTACCCACAGTGAGATATGGGCCTTTCCAGAGCCCCAGAAAGCTTCCTTGTGCCCCGCCCCCTCCAGGTCAGCAACCTTCTGAAAGGTCTTATTCTAACTGTGGTCACTGTAGGTGAGTTTACCTGTTTTGCACTTCATATAAATGGAAACTAGAGTGTAACTTTTTCTGTGTTTACCTCTTTTCATCAACATTATGTGTGGGAGGTTCACCGTGTTGGTGCATAGATCAGTAGTTCTTTTTCATTGTTCGGGAGCATTCTATTGTATAGATATTCCACAATTTATATTTCTGTTCTACTGTTCATGGACAGTTCAGTTGGTTTCAACTTGGGACTATTATGAATAATGTTTCTAAACACACTATTGTGGTCCAAAAGGAGATGCCATAACAAGTGTAACCAAAAGTAACGTCACAGGGTGATCTGATCATAAATTCCTCACATGGTGAGTAGTTACAGTCCAGGCATATAACTTCCTTAGGAAAAAGTGTTATCTTTGCCTTAAGCAAGCCCTATTCTTTATTTCTGTGCATCTAGATCAGCGGTTCTCAATCTGTGGGTCCCGACCGCTTTGAGGGTCGAACGACCCTTTCACACTGACCAGGACTCAGCTGCTAATCTAGCCTAAGACCATCGGAAAACACATATATAATTACATATTGTTTTGTGATTAATCACTATGCTTTAATTATGTTCAATTTGTAACAATGAAATTGGGTGTCACCACAACATGAGGAACTGCATTAAAGGGTCGCGGCATTAGGAAGGTTGAGAACCACTGATCTAGATAAACACAAACTATGGCAACACCATGCTAGGCATATCACATGTATTATATTATTTAATAATGACAAAAACCCTGAGAAATGAGTATTCTAAAACCAATTTTAAGCTCCTAAGAATTTTCTGCTTATGATTTAATATTCAAGCAGAACAACTCTGAGAAGGAACATATATTGGTAGCTCCATTTTACAGATAAAGAAACTGAGGCTTAGAAAAGTTAGGTAATTGACTGAGACCTCATATTCAGTTTATAATAGAGCCAGGACTGGAGCCCAAGACTAGATGACCCACAGGTCCTTGCTCTTAATCACAGTAATAAATTTTCTTTTCATTTTTATACTCACCCTAAGAGCAATGGAGTCACAAGATGCTAGCCCTTTGTCATTTAGGATTTTGGCCATTATGGGAGTCCAAATTTTAGCACAAATGGAAAATTTGAAATTCGAAAGGAATTTGGAATTTGGGCAGAAATGACTAAGAATTACAGAGTATGCCAACATGGAGAAAGGGTGCAGTTAGAATGTGGATCCTAGAGTCAGATTGCCTGGGCTTGCATCTCACCTCTGTTATTTACCGGCTGTGTGGCCTTGGGCAACTCACTTAACTTTTTCTTAGCTCAGTTTTCTAATAATACCTGCTTCACAGGATTGGTATGATGATTAAAGGAATTCATTATCTGTAATTTGCTATGCCTGAGAACAACACCTAGCATCTGTAAAAATGATGTCGTTGTTTAAATTTAGATGAAAGTCAGTATATGGTATGCTAAAAACAAAGGTTTTGAGGGAGGGCTCTTTGGGAGAACTCACATTCTATTGTCCCAAGAAATAATTTCCAAAAATTCTTTGACTCTTGGAAAAGCAATTCACTTATTTTAACTACACAGGAATCTTTTGGCCGGTTTTAAAGTAAATTTTAGCTAGAGCCAAATGCCTGTCTTGGCACAGCCTGCAAAAAGGATGTTTTAACCAAGCCAACCATCTCAGATAAACCAGTAAGAACAGGCCGTAAAACTGGTGGGAACAGGTCTGCCACTTTATTTATTTATATACTAGAGGCCCCATGCACAAAATTCATGCAAGGGGCTCCGAGGGCCGGTGTGGCAGCCGGGGCTTCATCTGGAAGGATGTCCAGTCTATTTAGCATATTACACTTTTATTATTATAGATTTACTTATTTATTTATTTTAAAATATATTTTTATTTATTTTAGAGAGGAAGGGAGAGGGAGAGATAGAAACATCAATGATGAGAGATACTCATAATCAGCTGACTCCTGCACACCCCCCTACTGGGGATTAAGCCCGAAACCCGTGCATGTGCCCTTGACTGGAATCAAACCTGGGACCCTTCAGTCCACAGGCCGACGCTCTATCCACTGAGCCAAACCAGCTAGAATCAGTTCTACCATTTTAAACCTTTGTGTCCTTTGCCAAGCTGCTTATCCTCAGTATGACTCAATTATTCTAATGTTACCTAATTGAGGTGGGTATTATTACCCACACTTTACAGGTAAAGAACTGAGGCTTTAATAACATGGCCAAACTCACTGAGCAAAGAGATGACAAAGACTGGATATGTGGCCAGGTTGGGCTGTGCACTTAAGTCCAACACATCATGGATCTCACCACCCACAAGACAGATGAGAAACCGAGCCCAAGAGAAGGGGACTGAATTACCCCTGGTCACCCAGCTGGCTGGGCACAGTGAAGGTTAATGAGGAAAAGTGGTTTAACCAAATGTATAAAGTCCAGTTCTCCATAAGCTGAAGCGACCTGCCCTTTATAAACCAAACCCCCCTGAGAGCCTCCAGGGAGGGACTTTCAGGCAAACACTGTCCTGTGTTCATGCTTCACAGGTGAGATCCACGTGGAAGGACAGGAGCATTTTTACATGGAAACGCAAACTATCCTGGCTATCCCAAAAGAAGAAGATAAAGAAATGGTGTTACACCTTGGAACGCAGTTTAAGTGCAGGTAACAGGATATCTTTGGAAATTGAGACTCCAGATGACTGTGGTGTGAGGCCCATACAACCAGGCATTCCTCTTTGGAGGCGTTTTGATTGTTCCCATTCCCCGTCTCAGACTCCCTGCACAATTGACGCTAGCTAAATCCATAATGGAGGAGGTGGGCAGATATTTCCCTAAATGGGCAGACCTTTTAAGAGATCAGAAACGTTTGCTCCCTTCCAAACTACAGGGCAAAGTTCCCCTTTCCCTAATAACAATTGACGGTGTAAAATGTACATGTGTATTTACATTTTCATCATGGTTGATGGGTGCTGGTTCTCTCTCTATAAACGTTCTTGCGTCTTTGTGGTGCAGATGTACATTGATCGCATTTCCAAGACATTTCAGCCCAGCTCAGTAGCGTGTGAATTCCAGTCCTGCTCTAGCGGCTGAGTTATACAGCATGGCCACCTGGCCACCCCCCCATGCAAGCAACGAAAATCCCCTGACCTTCCCTTCTTCTGAAATGCAGAGTTGTAGGTCCGAGCACAGTGCTAGGAATACTTAAATAATGACACGGGGAGAAGCATCTCTGAAGGGAAAAGCTGGGGGTTTCCTGGTAGAGACCACAGTGAGTTGGTATCTTGAGGTCTTAAAGGGGTGGGTAGGCTCAATGGGAGGCGGAAGCTACCAAATGCCATTCGAGGCGAAGTGAAAGGGCAGGGGACTGAAGCTGGGCTGGGTGTGCCGCAGCGTCCAGAGGTGCACGTGTGGAACTGGGCAGAAGGGTGTGGAGGTGTGTGCTTTGCCCCTAAGAAGCTATGTGACCTCCCACAAGTCACTGGGCATCAATATCTTTTTGTGTAAATTGAGGAAGGTGACAAAGATGACCTCTGAGGTCTGTTTTTGTAGACAGTATGTGTCTCTGGGCTCTGAATGGATAATGTGTAAGGTCACGATGAATATTATTATTTTTTATATTTTTTAATTGATTTCAGAGAGGAAGGGAAAGGGAGAGAGATAGAAATATCAATGATGAGAATCATTGATTGGCTGCCTCCTGCACGGCCCCCATTAGGGATCAAGCCTGCAATCCGGGCATGTGTCCTTGACCGGAATCGAACCTGGGACCCTTCAGTCCACAGGCCGATACTCTACCCACTGAGCCACACCAGCTAGGGCGGTCACCATTCATATCTACCTGGGATACAGTGAGTCGGCTCCATAACAGCAGGCATTTCCCAGGGCACTAGTACTCACAGCTCACCACCCAGAACTGGGGCAGTATCAAGAGCAGGCTCAGCAAGGACTTGGACGGACATTTCTCCAAAGAAAGTCTATGAATGACTAATAAGCATGTGAAAAGATGTTCAGCATCATTAGTAGGAAATTCAATTCAAAACCCACAGCAATACCACGTCACATCCCCTAGAACAGCTATACTTAAAAGGACAGAAAGTAGCAAGTGTTAGCGAGGCTGCAGGAAATTAGAACCTTCATCCATTGCTGTTGGCCATGAGTAATGGCACTTTGGAAAACAGCTTGGCAGTCTCTCAGGATGTTAAAAATAAGGTGACCACATAACCCAGCAGTTCAACAACTAGGTATCTACCCAAGAGAAATGAAAACACATATCCACACAAAAACTTATCCATGAATGTTCATAGCAGCGTTTTCACAGTAGGCAAAAGTAGAAACAATGCCATAGCCCATCAACTAATAAAGGGATAAAATATGTGATATATCAATACAATAGAATATTATTCAGCCATAAAAAAGAATGGAGTTGCCCTGGCTGGGTCGCTCAGTAGGTTGGAGCATCGTTCCATATACTGAAAAGGTTGCCGGTTCGATTCCGGTTTTGGCAGGTATGGGAGGCAACTGATGGATGTTTCTCTCTCTCATTAATGTTTCTCTCTCTCTTTCTCTCCCTTCCTCTTTCTCTAAAATCAATAAAAGCACATCCTTGGGTAAAAAATTTAAAAAAAAGAATGGAGTACTGGTACATGCTACAACATGATGAACCTTGGAAACATAATGTTAAGTGAAAGAAGCCAGTCACAAAAGGCCACCCTTGTGTTATTCCACGTATATGAAATGTTCTAAACAGGCAAATCTGTAGAGACAGAAAGCAGATTAGTAGTTGCCTAGTGGTGGGGCATTCGAGGGAGTTGAGATTAGGGGGAGCTCCGAAGTGGCTGCTTAATAGATACAAGGTTTCTTTGGGGATACTGAAAATATTCTAAAATTGGATTGTGATGATGGTTTCACAGTTCTGTAAATGCTGTATGTGTTGAACTACTGATCCTATGCAGAGGGGAAGTACATGGATGAGGAAATGTCCTATTAAATTGCACTTTGTGAGGTCAGGGGTTTATCTCTTTCAGGAATTTGTGGCTGCAGCACTTAACATCCCAAGGAATAGAGTCGCCTGCCATATGAAAAGAACTGGAGGAGGATTTGGGGGGAAATCGACCAAGCCCTCCGTGCTGGGTGCTGTCACTGCTGTGGCCGCCAACAAGTAAGAGTCGCAGTGCCAGCTATTAATGGCAGAACTCCTAGCTGGACAGGTGCCTCCCATGTCCTTCCAGCCCTGCACCCACCCCAGGGTTCATTCCATTGGTCACAGGCTGTCACTTCCAAGGGGTGTGGTTAGCCTGAGGGTGAAGGGACACTGCTCTACCCACTCTCCAGCCATCAGGGTCACCATAGGCAAGGGGCCTCAGTGTCCTCCCAGTAAAGTGAAGAAAGTAATATCTACCTGGTTCACAAGATAGTTGTGTGGAATAAATGCAATCACTATAGATGTTGACTGGTTGCCAGGACATAACTATATATTACTTCTTCATGACTGCATTGACTTTCAATCTTTAAATGTTTGTTTTAAATTGTTAAAATAGCCCTAACCGGTTTGGTTCAGTGAATAGAGCATGGGCCTGCAGACCAAAGAGTCCTGGGTTCAATTCTGATCAAGGGCACGTACCTTGTTTGCAGGCTCTTCCCTGGCCCCAGACCCTGGTCCTGGCATGTGCAGGAGGCAACTAATCGATGTGTTTCTCTCACATCGATATTTCTTTCTGTCTTTCCTTCTCTTATCCACTCTCTCTAAAAAAAATCAATGAAAAATATCTTCCGGTGAGGATTTTAAAAAATATAAATATAACATAATATAATATAATTAATATAATATAATATAATATAATATAATATAATATAATATAATATAATATATTGTTAAAAATTAATCAAGCTAAGGTGGCTTAATGGAGGGCAGATCAAAGCCCCAACCTTACAAGGGACACATTTTGTGATGAAACACAGCAGGGTTGGCTGCTGCCTGGGAATGTTCACTTAGCCCGACAGAGGGCAGGCCCAATCCCTAGGTGCCTCCCCTGGTCGGGCTCAGAGCAGGGCTGATTGGGGAATTGGGGTGCCGCCCCCTGTCATGCACAGAGGAGGGCGGATTGGGAGGTTGCGATGCCACCCTCAGTCACGCTCAGGGTAGGGCCGAATGAGGGGTTTAGGGCACCGCCCCCCTGTCACACTCAAGGCAGGGTCGATGGGGAGGTTGCGGCACCACCCCCCTGTCACGCACAGAGCAGGGCCAATCAAAGGGGTTGGGGCACTGCCCCCTGTCACGCACAGAGCAGGGCCAATCAGGGGGGTTGAGGAGCACCCCCCTGTCACTCACAGAGTAGGGCCCATAGGGGAGTTAGGGCACCGCCCCCTGTCACACACAGAGCAGGGTGGATCAGGGGGTTGGGGCGCCACCACTGTCACACTCAGGGCAGGGCCAATGGGGAGGTTATGGCTCTACCGTGTCACACACAGAGCAGGGCCTGTGGGGGTGTTGGGGGTGGGCGCTGCCCTCTATCACCCACAGAGCAGGGCCGATCAGGGGGTTGGGGCGCCGCCACTGTCACACTCAGGGCAGGGCCGATGGGGAGGTTATGGCTCTACCCTGTCACACACAGAGCAGGGCCTGTGGGGGGGAGGGTTGGGACGCCGCACCCTGTCACACACAGAGCAGGGCCGATCAGGGGGTTGGGACACCACACCCTGTCACACACAGAGTCGCAGGGCGATCAGGGGGTTTGGGCGCTGCCCCCTGTCACACTGATCCGGTGCCAGGAGGCCTCGTGGCTCTGCTGATCCCGGTGCTGGGAGGCATATTACCCTTTTACTATATAGGATAGAGGCCTGGGGGCCGGCTGGTTTGCCCTGAAGGGTGTCCTGGATCAGGGTGGGGGTCCCCACTGGGGTGCCTGGCCAGCCTGGATGAGGGGATGATGGCTGTTTGCAGCTGGTCACACACCCTTCAGGGTGGGAGTCCCCACTGGGGTGCCTGGCCAGTCTGGGTGAGGGGCTGAGGGCTGCTTTCAGGCTGGCGATTGACTGAAGCTCCCAACCGCTCCTTTTTTTCTTTTTCTTTTTTTTATTCTGGGCCAGCTTTAGCTCTGGCTCTAGCTCTGAGGCCTCGGCTGCTGAAAGCTGGTATCTGGTTTGTTTGCGTTCTATAATTGAAACAATGTATAACTCCAGCTCTGAGATCCCGGCGGCTGAAAGCTGGTTTCTGGGGTTTTGTTTAGCTTCTATATTTGTTACAATGTTTCAAACTGCCAGGTCAGAGGCCGGCAGCGGCAGGCGGGGAACGTTGGAGTCCGCCAGTCACTGGAGCAAGCAAGCCTCCCTGTTCACTTCAGTGCATGGCTGCCGGCCGCCATCTTGTTTGTCAGTTAATTTGCATATACTCACTGATTAGCCAATGAAAAGGGTAGCGGTCGTACGCTAATTACCATGTTTCTCTTTTATTAGTGTAGACATAATATCTAATAATAGACAAACATGGTAATTGACCATACCTCCGCTAGGCTTCCCATTGGCTAATCAGCAGGATATGCAAATTAACTGCCAACAAAGATGGCGGCCTGCAGCCACGCAGCTGAAGCGAACAGGAGGCTTGCTTGCTCCAGTGATGGAGGAAGCCAAGGTTCCTCGCCTGCCACAGCCCAGCTCTGAGCTCCGGAAGCAACAATGTTTCAATTATAGAAGCCAAACTAACCCCAGATACCTGCTTCCAGACAGCCATGGCCTCAGAGCTGGAGCTGAGCCTCAGAGCTGGAGCTAGCTCTCAGCTCCAGTGACAGCTATAGAAGGTAAATAAATCCCAGAATAAAAGAAAAAGAAAAAAAGGAGAGGCTGGGAGCCTCTGGCCAGGCACCCCAGTAGGGACCCCCACCCTGAAGGGGGTGTGACCAGCTGCAAACAGCCATCAGCCCCTCACCCAGGCTGTCCAGGCACCCCAGCGGGACCCCCACCCTGATCCTGGACACCCTTCAGGGCAAACCAGCCGGCCCCCACCCGTGCACCAGGCCTCTATACTATATAGTAAAATATAGTAAAAGGGTAATATGCAAACTGACCCTAACAGCAGAAGGACTGGGAATGACTGGTCACTATGACACACACTGACCACCAGGGGGCAGACGCTCAATGCAGGAGCTGCCCCCTGGTGGTCAGTGCACTCTCACAGGGGGGAGCTCTGCTCAGCCACAAGCCAGGCTGATGGCTGCCAGTACAGCAGTGGTGGTGGGAGCCTCTCTTGCCTCCTCAGCAGCACTAAGGATGTCTGACTACAGCTTAGGTCGGCTCCCTGCTGGCAAGTGGACATCCCCCGAAGGCTGCTGGGCTGCCAGAGGGATGTCTGATTGCCATCTTAGGCCCAATCCCCTGGGGAGCAGGCCTAAGCCAGCAAGTGGTAACCCCCGAGGGGTCCCAGACTGTGAGAGGGCACAGGCCGGGCTGAGGGACCCCTCCTCTTGAGTGCACAAATTTTTGTGCACCGGGCTTCTAATCTAATAAAAGACAAATAGGGTAATTAACTGTAGCTCCGACACGCTTCCCATTGGCTAATCAGGGCAATATGCAAATTAACTGCCAACCAAGATGGCGGCCGGCAGCCAGGCAGCTGAAGCGAACAGGAGGCTTGGTTGCCCTGGCGATGGAGGAAGCCAAGATTCCCTGCCCGCCGCTGCTGGGCTCTGAGCTGCACTCTAAGAAACAATGTTGCAATTATAGAAGCTAAACAAACCCCAGATACCTGCTTTCATCCAGCGAGGCCTCAGAGCTGGAGCTGCAACAGTGTTTCAATTATAGAAGCTAAACAAACCCCAGATACCTGCTTTCAGCAGCCAAGACCTCAAGCTGGAGCTGGCCTCAGAGCTAAAACCGGCTCTCAGTTCCAGTGACAGCTATAGAAGGTAAATAAATCCCAGAATAAAAAAAAGGAAAGAAAAAAAGGAGAGGTTGGGAACTTCATTCACCCACCAGCCTGAAAATGGCCCTCAGCTGCTCACCCAGGCTGGCCAGGCACCCCAGTGGGGACTCCCACCCTAAAGGGGGTGCGACCAGCTGCAAACAGCCATCAGCCCCTCATCCAGGCTGGCCAGGCACCCCAGTGGGGAACCCCACCCTGAAGGGGGTGTGACCATCTGTAAACAGCCATCAGCCCCTCACCAAGGCTGGCCAGGCACCCAAGCGGGACCCCCACCCTGATCCGGGACACCCTTCAGGGCAAACCAGTCGGTCCCCACCCATGCACCAGGCCTCTGTCCTATATAGTAAAAGGGTAATATGCAAACTGACCCTAACAGCAGAAAGACTAGGAATGACTGGTCACTATGACACACACTGACCACCAGGGGGCAGACACTCAATGCAGGAGCTACCCTCTGTTGGTCAGGGTTCTCTCACATGGGAGGAGCTCTGCACAGCCACAAGTCAGGCTGATGGCTGCCAGTACAACGATGGTGTTGGGAGCCTCTCCTGCCTCCTCAGCAGCACTAGAGATTTCTGACTGCAGTTTAGGCCTGCTCCCTGCTGTCAAGTGGACATCCTCCAAGGGCTGCCGGACTGCCAGAGGGATGTCTGATTGCCATCTTAGGCCCAATCCCCCGGGGAGCAGGCCTAAGCCAGCAAGTGGTCATCCCCTGAGGGATCCCAAACTGCGAGAGGGCACAGGCCGGGCTGAGGGACCCCCCCCCCCTCGAGTGCACAAACTTTTTTGCACTGGGCCTCTAATAATATAATAAAAGACAAATAGGGTAATTAACCATAGCTCCGACATGCTTCCCATTGGCTAATCAGGGTGATATGCAAATTAACTGCCAACCAAGATGGCGGCCGGCAGCCAGGCAGGTGAAGCACACAGGAGGCTTGGTTGCCCTGGTGATGGAGGAAGCTAAGGTTCCCCGCTTGCTGCAGCCGGGCTCTGAGCTGCACTCTAAGAAACAATGTTGCAATTATAGAAGCTAAACAAACCCCAGATACCTGCTTTCAGCTGCAGAGACCTCAGAGCTGGAGTAGCAACAGTGTTTCAATTATAGAAGCCAAACAAACCCCAGATACCTGCTTTCAGCAGCTGAGGCCTCAAGCTGGAGCCGGGACTCAGAGCTAAAGCCGGCTCTCAGCTCCAGTGACAGCTATAGAAGGTAAATAAATCCCAGAATTTTTTTAAAAAGGAAAAAAAGGAGAGGTTGGGAGCTTCATTCGCCCACCAGCCTGAAAACGGCCCTCAGCTCCTCACCCAGACTAGCCAGGAACCCCAGTGGGGACTCCCACCCTGAAGGGTGTGTGAACAGCTGCAAACAGCCATCAGCCCCTCATCCAGGCTGACCAGACACTCAAGCGGCACCCCCACCCTGATCCGGGACACCCTTCAGGGCAAACCAGTCGGTCCCCACCCATGCACCAGGCCTCTATCCTATATAGTAAAAGGGTAATAAGCAAACTGACCCTAACAGCAGAAGGACTAGGAATAACTGGTCACTATGACACACACTGACCACCAGGGGGCAGATGCTCAATGCAGGAGCTGCCCTCTGGTGGTCAGGGTGCTCTCACATGGGGGGAGCTCTGCTCAGCCACAAGCCAGGCTGATGGCTGCCAGTACAGCAGTGGTGGTGGGAGCCTCTCCTGCCTCCTCAGCAGTGCTAAGGATGTCCGACTGCAGTTTAGGCCTACTCCCCACTGGCAAGTGGACATCCCCCGAAGGCTGCTGGGCTGCCAGAGGGATGTCTGATTGCCATCATAGGCCCAATCCCCCGGGGAGCAGGCCTAAGCCAGCAAGTGGTCATCCCCTGAGGGGTTCCAGACTGCGAGAGGGCACAGGCTGGGCTGAGGGACCCCCCCCCCAAGTGTACAAATTTTTGTGCACTGGGCCTCTAGTATAATTAATATAATATAATATAACATAACATAACATAACATAACATAACATAACATAATATAATATAATATAATATAATATAATATAATGTTAAAATAAATCAAGCTAAGGTGGCTGAATGGAGGGCAGGTCAAAGCCCCAACCTTACAAGGGACACATTTTTTGATGAAACACAGCAGGGTCAGCTGCTGCCTGGGAATGTCCTCTTAGCCTTGACATCATCCAGGTGGGATAACCAGACACATTAGGAGTGGGAATAGCCACGACTTTTTGTGAACCTCTTGCGTATCAGAGTTCATTAAGTATGTTCAGGACAATCGTAACTTACCCCAGGCTATCACTGCGAAGAGAAACACTGAACATCACAGTTCACTGGCACTTTCCAAGCATAGCAAAGCCTGTCCTGTGAGCAGAGGTATAGGCACGGGGAGCATCCTCTCTGAAGCCAGCAGGGTCCTCCACAGGCACCTGATGACGGGGAGTCTGCATGAAAGGGGGGCAGAACTCAACGGAGTATTGATTGGTTCTCAATCCTTTCAGCCTCAGCATTCCCCTTTGGCAAGTGTTTTAATGCCCCTTTTAATATCCAAAGTGAACATCATCATAATATAACCTACTAATTCACACAATTGCAAAATCCTCATACAATGCCTTAATGTCATATAAAAAAGAAATAAAAGGAAAGTAACAGAAGTAAATAATGTATTATTTCAACATCAAAATTCTCAGACATGACTAAATCAGGATAACATTAATAGGGGCTTTTATTTTTGTGTTTGTTAAGTTTTAATGTCCCCACAAACTTCAAAATGTTGTTTAAGGTATGTTACTACCCCCATGAAAAAACACTAAGTTAGGTTATGTCCAGTCCCCTTTCGCCAGCTCCATGTTTCTACACCTTTATGAAGCACCCAGCGTATTAACAGTCATTTCCTACAGGACTGGCCGCCCAATCCGGTATGTTCTAGAACGTGGTGATGACATGCTGATAACTGCTGGCCGCCACCCACTCCTCGGAAAATACAAAGTGAGTGAGAGAAAAATTTTAGGAGACTGCTGAAAATATTGTCCAGGGACAACCAATCAATCATAAAACAACTACTAAATTCCATGCTGACTGCAAGGGGTATTTGGATGCTACCCAAAACCAATCAGAACTTTCTGTTGGGATCCCATGGTTGCCCTGGGCACCATCCTCAGGGTTCCTCTGATGACTGTCACATCAAATCATGTTCATAAGCTGGGTATGGACTGACACGTGCGGTCGGATGTGTTTGTGTACAGCAGGATCTGGTTGTAAAGAACTGCTGAGAACATGGTTTTGTCATATCACTTTGCAGATTGGATTCATGAACAACGGTGTGATCAAAGCTGCCGACGTTCAATATTATCTCAATGGTGGATGCACCCCTGATGAGTCTGAGTTGGTAAATAAGGACTGACTATGCCCTCCCAGTAGGTTACCCGTTGAGTTGTGTGTGCTACACTTTATTCGCATGGATATTTGTCATACAAATTAGACAAAATTCTGTGAAGGGTTTGTGTTACAGATAGAATTTGATAACTGATTTTGAATGTTTGATAGATGTGAAGTTCGGTTTTGTTTTCATTCAGGTGATAGAGTTCGTTGTGCTGAAATCTGAAAATGCATATCATATTCCTAACTACCGGTGCCGGGGTAGGGCTTGCAAAACAAACTTGCCATCCAACACTGCCTTTCGAGGATTTGGCTTTCCCGAGGTTTCAGTGGTAGTTGAAGCTTACATAACTGCTGTGGCATCTCAATGTAACTTACTCCCTGAAGAGGTAGGTAATCAGACAGAATCCCCTTACAAAACTCTGCCATCAATGGTTCAAATATATATTGAGCACCTACATACAGCATTACATTAGCTTGTAAGATTCAAAGTATATAGTCTATGTATCAGTAAGCTTTTCCTGTGCAACAAGTCAATCAAAACTTAGTAGATTAAGCCCTAGTTGCTTTGGCTCAGTGGAGAGAGTGTCCACCTGTGGACTAAAGGGTCCCAGGTCCGATTCCGGCCAAGGACACATGCCTGGGTTGCAGTCTCGATCCCCAGTAGGGGGCATGCAAGAAACAGCTAATCAATGATTCTCTATCATCATTGATGTTTCTATCTCTCGCTTCCTCTCTGAAATCAATAAACATATATTTTTTTAAAAACTTAGTGGATTAAGACAACAAATAGTATTTCTTCTGATTCTGTGGGTCAGCTGCTAGGTAGCTCTTCTGGTCTGGCTCAGCTTAACTGGAGTTTTATGGTCCAAGATAGATTCACTTCCTCATCTGGTGGTCATTGACTGATGAGTCTAAATATCACAGCTGGGAAGGCTCCTCTCTGCTCCACAGGGTCTCTCATCCTCCAGGAGGTTAGCCCAGATTAGTTCTCATCGTGGTTCATAGATTTTCCAGGAGAAGTAAGAACATGATGCAAGCACTTTTCATGTCTCTGCCTGCATTACATATGTGTTGTCCCACTGTCCAAAGCGGCCAATCCTCCCACAGTCAGTGTGAAACCACCCAACGGCATGACTAGGGAGATTGGCATCATTACAGCCATTTGTGCAAACATCCTACCATAGTTCAGATTTTGAGGAGCGAATTTGAGAACAGTTAAGAATAAAGAAACATTGTGTAGAAGTAAAAGAATTTTGAGTCAGGAGAAATTTGTCTCAACACTAACGAAACTTGTCATAGGACTCATAATACACCTTCTATTTCTCAAGGTTATTGTAAAGTTGTTGAGATCATATACTTAGTCTGCAACCTGGAAGATATGATGTGTTCAACAGTAGTTTCTATTGTTATTATGATTATTGTTATTATCATTATGTTTATATGTTTACATTTGTATTTACATATTTATATCCATTTAAATAGTTGTTTCTTTTTTAGAAAGACTTTCTTCATGTCAGGTATATAACAAAAACACATGTTTCACAAATGGAATAGCATGTATGCTTGAAATGCTTTTTTCTTGTCTTTCAGGTTAAAGAAATAAACATGTACAAGGGAATTAGTAAAACAGCCTTTAAACAGAGATTTAATCCAGAGCCCTTGGGAAGATGCTGGAAAGAGTGTCTGGAGAAATCTTCATTTTATGCTAGGAAGAGGAATGCTGAGGAATTTAACAAAAATAATTATTGGAAGAAAAGGGGGCTTGCTGTGGTCCCCTTGAAATATACCGTTGGCGTTCAATATGCCCAGTACAATCAGGTGAGGTTGGGAGAAATGTGTCTTGAGGTATGGGGTCAAACTTCAAGTCCATGTAAGAATTGGAGGGAATAAGAGGATCCCTTTCCCTCTTTCCTAACTTCTTAGTGACAGCAGTAGGGTCATTTGAAGACAGAGCTTTCAAAACACTGAAAACAGACAGAGCTGCTCCATTCTCACAGAAACCTGAAGTCACCATACTGGGCTCCATCACTACATAGGGTCACCATACTGGGCTTCATGATTACACGGAGTCACCATACTGGGCTCCATGGCTATACAAGGTCTCCATACTGGACTTCATGATTACACGGAGTCATCATACTGAGGCTCCATGACTACCCAGAGTCACCATACCAGGCTCCATGACTACTGTGCCTTCTTTTCAGTTTTACCTTAAACAGTTTTTTGTGCGGTTCTGTTTCTGATTCTGATTCTGTTATTTATGTATTTACTTATTTATTTTCTTATTTATTTATTTGCTTTTTTATTTGTTTCTATCCCCATCAATCTCTGAAATATCCCCATAACCAAACCCACACAAAGAATACAAGTCCCTGCATGGTTTCAATGAAGGATGCCCCAATCCCCTCTGTCCACTCCCCTCCTCAGAGTCCACTCACAAGGTAGGAAGCAAAATGAGAAGGATGGAGGGGAGCAGATGATTAATCCTTCTCCCCAGGGAATATTTCTGAAGCCAGAATAACACACAGACCGTCTTTGAAGGGAAAAATTCAGTGGACTCTCAACAGTTGCTTAAATTATCTATTTTAATGTTATTTAACTGTGTATGATGACAAAGACTAAACTTATTATAGTTCCTATGCCTGTATAAAACACAAGTGAATTTGGGAATTAAATGAAGTAGTACTGTAAATGCCAGTGATATTCAAAATAGTTACATTAACTTAACATGGTGGGCAATGTTGCTTTTCCAAAACTAAATCCTCACTCAGCTCTGGCTGCTGCAGCATTTCAAGTCATTCTGAAGTCTTAATCATAAATGTCTGTGTAGGGTGTGATGACCTGCCATCTCACCTCTTGTCTCTAATATGCCCCATCAATTACAGTGGTCCTGCTTGGTGCTTATACAATCATCAACATAAAATCTAACACGGGCTCTGAAAGCATGTGGCAATACCATTGACTGTGGTCATCATTACTCTTGTTAGATGGTCATGAAATGAAAATACAAAGTTTTAAAGTTCCTGTATAGACCTTAATGGTCCTGATACTACAGTCTCAAACCAGGAGACTGGCGTAGCTAAATTAGTTGAATATATATATAATCTATCTTACCCAAGGATATGGGTATAGGTTTTTTATTGATTTTAGGGAAAGGAAGGGAAGGAAGAAAGAAACATTAGTCAGTTGCCTCCCGTACTTGCCCTGACCAGGAATTGAACCTTCAATCTTTTTGGTGTACAAGATCATGTTTCAACCAACTGAGCCACCCAGCCAGGGCTAAATTAGTTGATGTTTTGAATTTGTAGTGGTAGGGTCACAGGCATCAACATGAGGATAGAGGTCCCAAGGCGAGAGATGCAGGGTTCTGGGCCATGTGCATGAGCATATGGTGGGAATTGCTAAAGAAAAATTCTAATGACTGTAGAACCACCCGACATAGCCCAGCCTCCTCCTTCCCTCCCTTCTCAGTCAGGTTCCTGGAGCCACATGTCCAGACCCAGAGAAGGACAACAGCATTTAGCCTGAAGGAGGCAGCACAGCATGGGTGTGGAGGACGCTGGGCTCAAGTTAGAAGTGGTGGGTTCCATTACTGACCTTACAAACTAGGCACCAGTTTTGGCCAAGCCTCTCCTTCTTTAGGCTCCTATTCCTTCACATGAAAAGTGAAAACTTTGGACTAAACCTATAGATCCCAAACCTGTCCAATCATCAAAATCAATTGTGAGTTTTAAAAAACAAGGGGGGAAGGAGGGAGGGAAGTTAATCTAGCTTCCACCTCCAACCTTCAACTGAATTGGAATTTCCTGAATGGGGCTACACCCCTCCCCCACCATCATTCTCAAGGTCAGCAGCATCTGGAAGCTATGAAAACATCTCAAGGGTCTTCCAGCTCCCCTAGTAGCCAGTGGAAGCTTTGCTGGGAAATTGACTTGTACTGGTTCCATTTGCTTTAAAATCAATTGTTATGTTCAAGGGGAAAGAATAATAAAATATTGTACAGGTGGTGCTTTGGAGAGGTCGCTTCCAAGGCAGCCACACAAGGCCTCCAACAGGCCCGCAGATGGTGGGCGTGGAGATGAGCCGCCATTCGTTGCTCTACAGCAAGCATGTCAAACGCAAAGGCTAACACTGGCCAAATAAAGAAGGTTTAAGTTTGTGTGGGCCGCAAAAAAACAAAAGCTTCAATTTTCATAGGTTTGTTTCGATAGAGACGTGCTGAATACAAAGGGCTGAAATGAATGAGTAATCGTTAACATAAAATAATAGAACATTTTAATAAAAATTAATCTTTTTCTTGATTATTAACTTATCAGACACTGAATAACTGTACAGATTAAAAAGCATAATGCAAATAAACCTATTTTTCTTGTTCTCCAAAAACAAAATATTTCCTGTTGCGCACACCAAACAAGTCAGGCCAAGACTAATGACGTGGCCATTGCCACTAGTATTAGTGGAGAGAAATGGTGTGTCTGCAAGGAAGACGCATAAGGGAAATGAATGCAACGTGATTATAGTAATCAGTGAGCGGACTTTGTAGTTCTTTATTAATAATTATGTATAACAGGATATTGTAAAAATTAAGTTACGAAATTTTTATTAGAATGTTTCTTACATACCGTTATATTGGCTGGGCCGCAAAAATATTCATTGTGGGCCACATGTGGCCTGCGGGCTGCAAGTTTGACATGCTTTCTAAGTTTGGAGGGTGTTAAAGGGGTTGTCTGTAATAACTTTATAAACAATGAGAGATTGACTCAATGAAGCAAACTGTTCATCTGGTAACCTCAGCTAAACTCAGGCAACATTTGGTTTTTCAAAATGGTATTATAATTATTCCCCAACAGGCCGCCGCTCTCGTCCACATCTACACCGATGGCTCTGTCTTGGTGGCTCATGGTGGCTGTGAAATTGGACAAGGCCTTTACACCAAAATGATCCAGGTGAGATAAGTATCCATGTTTTCCACTGTGGAAGATTATCACACCGTACAGGCAGTTTAACAACTTCTTTCTTGTTGAGCAGGAGAAATACCATCACACTAAATGCACAGGTCAATTGTAATGTTCATTTTGGTATCAGGAACACATGAATGCAGGAGACTGATGGAAGTGGGTATTAGAATTGAGAAAATATGTAATATTATTCTTCCTGCATGCTAAAGAACCAGGTCCCATCAAGGTCTTCTGAAAAATGTGATTCCAGTTTTCAAAGATAAAGTATTTTCCGGCTTTAAGGCAACTGCTCAAAGCTACATTGTGTTAATGCAAATCTTCATTAGAAATGAATGTGTTTAATAAGATGAGAAATTATGTTCTTATTATTCACAATCTACTTAGCAACACCAATGATGGGCCATTATGTGTGCTAATTCAAAGCAATCTTCCTAATACTATTGTTGAAAGAGGAAGAGATTATTTTCAATAGGAAATTTTCCCTTTTTAAAATATTAAATAAGATTTTGTTGAATATGAAATTTGAATAAACAATGTGAGTAGCCGATCAGTGTGACTCAGTGGTTGAGTATCCACCCATGAACCAGGAGGTCTCAGTTCGATTCTTGGTTGGGGCAGATGCCCAGGTATCGGGCTAGATTCCCAGTAGGGGGAGAAGGGGACCAGTCAATTGATGATTCTCTCTCATCATTGATGTTTCTATCTCTTTCTTACTCTCCCTTCCTCTCTCTGAAATCAATTAAAAAAAAACAATGTGAGTGGGTGGGGGCAAAGCTTTCATCTTTTTAAAAAATATATTTTTTATTGATTTCAGAAAAGAAAGGAGAAGGAGAGATAGGAACATCAATGATGAGAGAGAAGCATTGATCGACTGCCCCCTACTGGGGATGGAGCCTGCAACCCAGGCATGAGCCCTGACTGATAATTAAACCAGGGACCCTTCAGTCCTCAGGCCGACGCTCTATCCACTGAACCAAACCGGCGAGGACCAAAGCTTTCCTCTTAATGAGAAATAGAAGATATTTTCTTTAAGGAAATACTATTACTTAATAGTGTGCTTGGAATTAAAAAATCACAAAAATCCACAGAGCCTTCTTTGAACATATCTTGCTTCTTTAAAACAAAACCCTTACACCTACAAAATGTCCGTGGGACAAACACAATCTGCTAAATGCATGTAAGCCACGAGGAGAAGATGAAGGTAAAACAATAAGACAGAGACCTCAGTCTGGCCTGTGTGAGTCCTACTGAACTGATGTCTTAGAATGACCATATGCCACATGGCTTCTATGAAACCGGAATAAAAGAAAGCACATGGTATGGATCTTTTACAGTGTCATTGAAAATCTTCAAACTCAGAATCTACATGTCAGACCCAAGATGCTATCTTAAATATTTATCCCTAAAGGATTGCCAGATTTTATACTCAGTTCAAAAAAAATTAGCCCGGCTGGCATCGCTCCATGGATGAGCATTGACCTATGAACCAGGAGGTCACAGGCACATGCCCGGGGTTGCAGGCTTGATCCCAGTGCAGGGCATGCAGGAGGCAATCAATCAGTGTTTCTCTCTCATCATTGATGTTTCTATCTCTTTCTCCCTCTCCCTTCCTCTCTGAAATCAATAAAAATGTATATTTTCTTTAAAAATTAAAAGCTCTTAATTTGGGGGGAGGGAGGCTTAGAGTCAATGATATCAATAGTGTTTTTCATTTGCTTCTGACAGGTGGCTAGCCGGGAACTGAACATCCCTGTCTCCTATATCCACCTGTCGGAAACAAGCACAGTCACCGTGCCCAATGCCTCCTTCACAGGAGGGTCTATGGGGACAGACATCAACGGGAGAGCGGTGCAGGTGACTTTTCTTTCATTTCTCAGTCACCCAATGACAGTGCTGGAAATAACCTTGCCCCATCCCCTCTTTTATGGGAACTGAAATTGAAGCCTAGAAGGGTCAAGCAGCTGGTTTTAGGAGCTCCGCTAAGAGGTTGCGAGACTTCGAGTGGTTGAAGCTTCCTCTGTGGGCCTCTTCTTCCCGCCCCTTGAGGGAAATCTACCTATAATTTTTCTAATCAACCTAAGATCATTAAAAACTCATCGATCACTTTTATATGCATAAACCATCTCATTCAATAATTAAAATGTTCAGTCCAAAATTCCAAAATGTGCTTCAAATTGCAGTGACTCTACAACTTAACAGCTTGGGCCTACAGGGAGAAAAGGGGTGGGGCTGGCTTCTCTGATGTCCCTCCCTGCACCCCCGCCCCCCATAAGCTTCCTAGCCTACATTTCAGACCCTTGTAAAGTCCAAGAAAGAGAGGGCACAGGGGATAGAGGCAGAACACTCTAGGCTGGCCTTGGTGTGACCTGGCCTTGTTATACCTGACTCCTTCCCTTGTGGATGCCATTGGAGCTCCTTAGAGAGTCCCTTCTGCAGCGATAACAAGGTCAGTGCCTCATCTATGGTTTTAGCCACTTGTGACCTGCTCCAGCCCCACCCTAAGCCCCAGGCCTCCTCCAGCCTTTTTCTGCTGAGGCACCTTATGCCTTGTAGGAAGCCCTTACAGATGGGGTTCTTTTAAAAAGTGGCCATTAGAGGGTGCCAAGAGTCAGGAGGAGGAGCAAATGGGGAGTTATTGCTTCATAGTTATAGAGTTTCTGTTTGGAGTGATGAAAAAATATTGGAAATAGTAGTGATAGTTGCATGCACCAAAAAAAAAAAAATACATCTATACTAATAAAAGGGTACTATGCTAATTAGACCGAACCTCTTCCAGATGACCTTCCGGACGTCCTTCCAGACAAAGCCATGGTGGTGGAGCCAAGGCAGAGGTGGTTAGAGGTGATCAGGCAGGCTGGGAGAGTAAGAGGGGGATCAGACCAGTAGGCAGGTGAGTGGTTAGGAGCCACTGGTCTCAGATTGCAAGAGGGATGTCCGACTGCTGGTTTAGGCCCCATCCTGGGATCAGGCCTAAACCAGCAGTCAGACATCCCCCAAGGGATCCTGGCTTGGAGAAGGTGCAGGCGGGGCTGAGGGACCCCTCCCCATGCATGAATTTCATGCACCGGGCCTCTAGTATAAGAATAACATTGCTTTAAAGTCCATGGGTAAAGTTCAATTGACAACAGAAACCTTCTTCTGGGACTGTGTAAATATTGCCAGGCACATTTGAGACAAAATAAAGTTCTTTATCTGAAGTCTAAAAATATAGGAAGTCTAAAAGGGAGCCTTTCCATACACTGGCTTCCATTGTCTAGTTTGGGCAGAGTGGTGTCCAGCAAATGCGGAGAGCGCTCCTTAGAAGGCCAGGAGTGGCAACTTGTCACCTGGTCACCCTTCAGACCGCCTGCAGCTCTTCAATGGGCTCCCTGGTGGGTTGATTACCAAGAGTTTTGGAGGCTCACTAAGGCTTCTCAAGGCTCTAGGTCCTCTGTCAACGATCACTTTAGACATTCAGAGGAAACATATGGCAAAAGCTGAGGCCCCATTGGCTGCAAAGACAACAGTGGCTCCAACCTTAATGTAAATAGACTGCCGATCCTGGGGAAGTTGAAACTGTTCATTTTAGAACCCCAGATTCTTTTTAAATCCCAAGTCATTTCTATGGGAGTAAAGTGTAGGAAATGGCTAGAAAAGAAAAAAGACTTGTAGAAAAAATCTTAAATAATTCTAAGTTAAATGCAACACTTAATGGATTAAGTAAATCAATAAGCATTAGTACATTTATGTCTACAGAAATAGAGATAAGCTATCTATTAAATGCCACAAAGTAAAGAAAGCAGCAAGTAGGGAAAACTGATTCCATTTTGGTTTTATCTTCATCATGCTTTCTTAAACTGGAATGGTTAAATATAGAAAATGCAATAAAATTGAAAAAATCTACCCCAGGCAGCACCCACACGACAGGTTCCACCCTGATGCATGTCCCTTTGAAGGCCATGCAGGGAGTCAGAGTACAGCATCTCCCCCAGAGATGGCCCACGACTTCCTGGGGCTGCTGCGAACTGCCTTTCACCCACAGTCTTGTGTGCAGCAGTAGAGACGGGTCTGTAGGCCCCCAACTCTAGAGGGCACACATCAAGCTCTCTGAGTGGCTGTGGAGTGTCTCTTGCTGGGTTTGCGATGGAGAAAGCCCTTTCTGCCACTCCATCCTGGGAAGATGGAGATCCCAGCACACCAACCTGCTGCAGTACAATCCTCTCCCTCACTCCAACTTTCCAGCCTCTTCAGTTCCAACCCTGTGATACCTCTGAGGCGGGTGAGAAACAGTTTGTGGCCACTTTCTCTGCAAGACCTGCTTAGGAGGCAGAGCACCCCCATTTGGATTAAGGGACTATTTGTCAGCTATTGTGCCTTTTGAGTCCTTAGCCTAAAATTAGTCAGATAATGAATAACAAACTATTAGGTATAATAAATAAAGAAAAAAGAATAAAACGAAGGAAACATAATGGCAGGTGTCACGAATTGAAATAAAGGGAGTTATAGAAAGAGAAAGCGCAAGTGTCAGGGCGGCCTTGGGCAGCCAGGAAACCAGGCTAGGCACTGGTTGGTGACCCTTGAGCCTGGTCCGAAGGCAGCAGGGACAGGAGCCCTCCGAGTAGGGACTTGGAGCAGAGGGAGCTCACTTACTGTGCTTGAGGAGCTGCAAGGAGTCAGAATGGCTGGAGCAGAGGGAGCCAAGGGGAAGGAGGTGGATGAAAATGTTAGGTCTCTGGGGTGAGGTTGGGGTATAAATGCTCATTGTTAAAGCTGGGTAAGTGGTGTAAGAGGAAATATTGTACTATTCTCTCCACCTTTGTGTATTTTGAAATCTTCTCTAATGCAAAGAAAGCCAGAAAAATTCGTATCTGGCACTTTGAGCTCCAATAGGGGGAGGTGACTCTACTAAGAAATATACGGTGAACAAATTCTCCACGCACAAAAAGGAGTTCAGATGTCACAAAAGAATGGCAAACGGTTTCTGCTACACCTCAGCCTGTTAAAGGGAAAACTTACGTTAGCGGAGCATTCGACTGTTGGGCATGAAGTTATGCACAAGAGTGTATGGTCAGGTCACAAGAAGAAGGCCATCTGATAGTTGGACAGGCAGGAACTGTGTGACTTGGGTTTGCCTTGGGTGTGTTACTCTTTTGGAAGGCATGCATTTGTAATGAGGTCAGTGATTGAAGACTGAATGAACCAGCAAAGATAGATGAATGAATGCAGGGATCTCCTGGATGCATAAGAAGCCAGAGACCATTTCACGGAGAGGGGATGAGAGAACAGAAGGAACAGAAACCAACAGAGGGCCTGAGGGCTATTCTGAGTCTGAGAAGAATAAGTTAAAGGCACACGTGTAAGCAGATTTGTATTTAAATTAAGAGGGGAAGCCAAAGCCAGCCCATATGGCTCCTGGTTGAGCATCGGTCTATGAACTAGAGCAAGCATGTCAAACTGGCAGCCGGCGAAGTACGAGTGCTGTAGTGGTTAAGACTCTTTCCACCTTCCAAGCAGCAATTCAGCTTCAGGAAAACGTTATGCATCAACTAAATTAATGTTATTTCAAATTCTATTGGTATATAGATTAGTCTGCATACTTTGTCATTTTGGTTTTTGCTTTGTAGACATAAAGGAGCTATAACCCTAAGGCGGCTCTACCTAGCTTTATGTTGGCATGTATTTAAACAACATTATAGTAAAAAATAATTTTAACACTGCAGGACCCCCAAGAATATTTGTTTCTTTCAAAGGGGTTCCATACAGTGTTCAAGTTTGAGAAACTCTGCCTAGAGGACTAAGAAGCAGGTTTACCAACTGACATGCTCATTTGAATTGATTTGAATATTGAATATTTTGCTACTCCCTGTGCCTTTCATTTCCTATGACATTTCAAATACTTATTTTTAGAATGCTTGCCGAATTCTTATGTCCCGTCTCCAGCCAGTCATCCGGAAAAACCCCAAGGGAAGCTGGGAGGACTGGGTGAGTGGTCCACATTGTCCTGCCCAGAGAAGGCAAATGCATCCGGATAGGTAGGTAAAGCCCTCAGAGCGTGGCTGGTTGGCGATCCCCACTCAAGAAGCAAAACATTTATTAGCGCTCACTTCTGCTTTTCTGAGAGTGAGAGTCTGTGTTCATTCCGTGGCTTCACTGAAGAGCCTCGTTTCTCACCGCTCTACCGTAGAACACACCTGACAACGGCCTATCACTACCGCAGAACACACCTGACAACGGCCTAGCGCTACCGTAGAACACACCTGACAATGGCCTAGTGCTACCGGAGAACACACCTGACAATGGCCTAGTGCTACCGTAGAACACACCTGACAATGGCCTAGCACTACCGTAGAACACACCTGACAACGGCCTAGCACTACCACAGAACACACCTGACAACGGCCTAGCACTACCACCGCCCCTCTGGGCACAGGCTCCCCCTCCCAGCCTCAGGGCCTGGGTTCGGCCTAGCGCTACAGTAGAACACATTGTCCTGCCCAGAGAACCATAGAACACACCTGACAACGGCCTAGCGCTACAGTAGAACACACCTGACAACAGCCTAGCGCTACCATAGAACACACCTGACAACGGCCTAGCGCTACAGTAGAACACACCTGACAACAGCCTAGCGCTACCATAGAACACACCTGACAACGGCCTAGCGCTACCGTAGAACACACCTGACGACGGCCTAGCGCTACCGTAGAACACACTTGGCACAGTGCCCTGCGCTGTCACCGCCCCTCTGGGCACAGGCTCCCCCTCCCAGCCTCAGGGCCTGGGTTTTCCCACCAGAGCAATGGAGATCATGGCAGTCTTAATAGCAAAAGGTTACTCTGTTTTTAATAATAATTATTACAATTCTCATCATTACTATTATTTCCAGCTATACCCAGTTTACTCCAGCAGGGAAGCTGATGTAATAATATACTGAGACAGCCAATCAAATAACATGGGAAAAAGCGTGGTAAAAATACATACACACATACATACTACATACATACACGCACATGCAGACACTTATGAACACATGTGTTTGTATATGTGTATGTACACCTACCTCTGTGTACACACCTATTGCATAAGTACATGAATATGGCCTAGTCTCTCCCTCTCTCTAACTTAAAAAGCCAAAAAGGGTGAAAAAATAATAAACTTCACACTGTGCAACTCTAAAGGGTCCCAGGGCACAGCTAGCAGCTGCCCATAGGCACCGCCCGTGGGAAGCCCGGCCTGTGCTCATTATACACCATGTCATCTCGCTGTGGGTGAAGGCGCAGAGGGTGCTGCAAACAGGAGGCAAGCCCAGCATGGAATTTTCACTGCTGTCCCCGCACTTACATTTCTTCGTATCAATCATCTCTCTCAGATTGCAAAAGCCTACGAAGAATCCATCAGCCTGTCCACCACGGGGTATTTCAGGTAAAGGACGCTTTTACGTTGGTTGGGTTACACGTGGGCAGGGATGGCGTGGGCACATCATGAACAGATACCTGCTGAGCACTGGCGCAGCCATGGGTGGTGTCAGCCTTCAGTCATGGGCCTGGGGAGGCGGGAGGATCCCTAGGGGAGGCCAGGGACCCCTGGAGCCACCGCCCTTTCTCGGCCAGAGGAACACCCCCTGTGACTGGCACAGCACTGCCTGATGGGAAGGAGGGCTCAGACACCCATGGGCCTTCTTCCCGTGTCTGTGCAGGACCGTGTAGGAGAAGGTCAGAGAGGCCTTCGGCCCTGGGTGGTGCTCTGTTCATCCCCGGGACCCAGAGCGCCACCCGGGATCAGACCACGAGGGGAAGGAGCCTTTCTCACCCTCGGGTTTCTCTTCGCAGAGACTACCAGACATATATGGACTGGGAGAAGGGAGAAGGGGAGGCTTTCCCATATTATGTTTACGGAGCAGCCTGTTCTGAGGTGGAAGTCGACTGTCTGACTGGGGCTCACAAGGTAGAGAGGGGATGGGTGCTCCCACCTTCACAGAGTGAGCGTTTCTATGGACGCATTTTCTGTGTGTTGATGCCAATCACCCTGACCCTGCCAGTGGGGAACCGGGGACAGGGAGGCAGTTGTAGTGAAGATCTATTTTTAAATCACATTTTCCATCCTGTATGTTCTCGTGGTGCAGCTCCTTCGGACGGACATCTTCATGGATGCGGCTTTCAGCATCAACCCAGCCCTGGACATTGGGCAGGTGCGTGGTACCAGACCGCCCCGCGGGGCCTTTTGGTCGATTCCATTCAGCACATTATTTCACAGAGTTCTCCAAATGCTTTTACCTGCTACAAGCACTCTGCAATGTATGTCATATATCACACACACAAAAACAGATAAAACATTGAAAGAAAACTCAAGAAAAAGTTAGCAGTGGTTGTCTTTATGTGGCAGAAATATGTGTGATTTATCCTGCTTTATAATTCTCCAGGCCTTCTAATCTTTCTTCAACAAACATTAACGTTTATAATTAGGGAATATTATATAAGTACATAATAATAAAGCCCCATTTGTATTCATATGCATATTGAATTTAAGTAGACTAAACAATTTAGAGAAATATAAGGGGAAAAGAAACACTTAAAAACAATTTTTCTCTGGCGGAATTTCTGATTTATATCTCTCCCCCACCCCATCCCCCTCCGTAGCCTTGTTACTCAAAGTGGGGCCAACAGGCCAGCCACATCAGCGCACCCCCAACCTGCCAACCAGGCCCCCGCCTAGACCTGAGTAGCAGGTTGAACAACTTGGCTTCAAACCCAACAGACAGACCTGTGGTTTCATCTGCCAACAGCTCCCTGTCTTCCTGAATCCTAAGGAGCTGGCTGACTGAGATTGGCCAATGGGCTTTCTGAGGGACAATTTAATTGGTCCCTCAGTGTTTCTCAAAGTGCGGTCCTCCAACTCGGCAACGAAAGCACCTACAGTGTTTATTGGAAATGCGGGTCCCTGTGCCCACCCAGACCCACTTCTCCAACAAACGTTTGCTGGGCGGGGACGTATAATCTACCCATTTAACCTGCACCTGAAATTCATCCCAAGTCTGTAAAGTTTGACAACCACAGCTGACCTCAGGCCCCACCTCTCCTTCACCTTCCTATCCGCTCCTACCAGCTTGTTCCTGCCTCTTTATTGCTTAAGCAAAGGCCAATGGAAATGTTATGATCAGAAAAACCCTACCTTTTCCCATTGGGAAAGGGAAGAAAAAACCAAAAATGTGTTAGACTGGAACTCTTGGACTTTAATCTTTTCCTTTAGGGACAAGCATTTGGAAATATCCAAATTTAGCATTTACATTTGTTTACTTTATTCTGTAATTTTACAATTCAATAGAATGCAACATGTAACTCTCCTTCAATTTTTTAACCTTGAGGCAGATAACCCCTTTAAAGGGGACTATGAACCTTTTTTTCTCAGAGTATAATAGTTTGTAGATAAGCAGAACTCAAATGGCTTTTAATGAAACATATTTAATTTAAGAAAATATATTTCTTTCAACCCACCTTGTTTAAGTTTGATCTACTCTCCATCATAATTTATAAAAGGAAGCAAAAAAATCCAGATAGTATAATAAATACTGTGCACCGGTTCCATTTACTTATTCACATTCCTTTAACATTAGCTCTTTTTCATATAGTTCAACAAACATTTTTTGAGAATGTATGTACCAGGCTAAGAACAGAACACAACACAAGAAGGCCAGACCTCATAATGCTTATAAACCAGTGAGAGCTGGAGTGAAGAGAGAGAGAGAGAGAGAGAGAGAGAGAGAGAGAGAAATAGGAGTTTGCCAAGTGGACAGGCTGAGGTGGGGAGCAGTAAAGAGAGATACTGCCCTTACAAAGAATTGGAGGGTGAACCAATCTGGTGGGCTTGGAGAATCCCCCAGAACTTGACAAGTGTTGAGTCCCTGGAATGTGAGGTACCTGGGCAAGAAGAGCTAAGGCTGGGGCCAGGCAGGATGGCAAGCACCAGATGCTGAAAGACCCTTTGTAAGTTCACTGCAGTGCTTTCAAGAATGACTTACTATGGTCCAGAGCTCCATTTGCAATCACATTGGGATATATTTTCAACCAATGTCATGTACTTATAAACTGTGACATTTTTGCCTGTAGATTGAAGGAGCGTTTATCCAAGGCATGGGATTATATACCATAGAAGAACTGAAATACTCCCCGGAAGGTGTGCTTTATTCTCGGGGTCCTGATGACTACAAAATCCCCACCGTCACAGAAATACCAGAAGAGTTCTATGTGACTTTGGTGCGGTCCCGAAATCCCATAGCCATCTACTCATCCAAGGTAAGAACTCAGCACCTCTATTCGTTTGCTAGCGCTGCCGTAACAAAATACCAGTTGGGGTGGCCTAAGCAACAGAAATATATTTACTCACGGTTCTGGAGGCTGGAAGTGTGAGATCAAGGCTTGATTTATTCGGAGACTTCTCTTTGGCTTGCAGATGGCCATTCTCATTGTGTCCTCACATGATCATCTTTCTATATGGCACATGTCAGATCTCTCTCTCTCTCTCTCTCTCTCTCTCTCTCTCATCCTAATTTCTTTTTCTTATAAGCACATCCTAAAGACCTCGTTTTAACTAAATTACCTCTCTAAAAACCTTATCTCCAATTACAGTCACATACTGAGTACTAGCGGTTAAGGACTTCAACATATAAATTGGAGGGGAGCACAGTTCAGCCCATAATAACCTGCTCCTCCCCTGAATTTGCTTTCTTCTTGGAATTGCAGGTCCCAAAGGGAGATGGGGGAGGGGAGGGCAAACTCATGGCAGAGTGGCACTCACTGCCTTCAGAACCCCAAGTGGAGTCTTCACTCTTGAGAGAGATCATGAAATATATTTAAATAAAGCAAGAAGTCAAACATCTTGGTTCATGAGGCTAAGTGCCACCAGGAGGTAAAGCTGAAGTTGTAGGCCAATTTCCCCAGCCCAGAGCCTTCTTTTCTGCACCCTTCCCACACGTCCTCAGACTCAGTTCTTTCTTGTTCACAATGCCTCTGCCCACCCTCTCCCCAAGTCAGAAAGGGCTTTCAAACAAGTTTCTCACTGAGGGTGACTTGATCTGAGGTGTTAATAGCCACTGATGTAAGATGTGTTGACGCACACGCTCCATGGCTGTGGGGTCTAACTGGCCCATGTAGACTTGCAGCAAAGATTCTCAAACACATGTACAAAAGCACAACTTCTCCAACTTAAGTGCCATTCTGAGCCCACAACTGGCCAGACTCATGGCAACTTTAACCTCGGGTTTTCAGGAAACTACCTCTGTTCTTAAGCGTAGGTCCGAGTTGGGAGGAAGGTGAGACTTTCGATATGAATAGCCCTCTCTCCACTTCTGCACCAGACTTTGGCCAGGGCTGTCTCTAAAGACTGCCCTGACACAACCCTGCTTCTGGAGGACTAGCCCCCTCCCTGCCAGTTGTGCTCCAAATAGGGCACAGGACCTCTCTGCTCTCACCCCCTCCTCCTCACCTCACAGGAAACCCCTTCTTCTGCCAGCTCCACCTCTTCCTCCACATTTGCCTCAGAGTAAAAGTCACAGCCTGGGGTAGTCTTTATCTGCTTTGGGCCCTTTGTCCCATCTCTCTACTAAGGCCCTGGACACAGACCAAGGACCAGACTCCTTTAAAGAAAGAAAGAAGGAAAACCAGTACAAAAAGCATTGGAGGGTTATTCAAAATATAATGTTCATTCACACTGTTCATTCAAGAGCATCCAGCACTCGCCAGGGAAGTGTGCGCAAAGAAGGCTTCAACGTCCACTCTTCAGGGGCAACACCTCACTGTCTTCCAAGCTCAGCTACAAAGATTGTGGTTCTTTTGCTGTGGGTTTGAATTAAACACACATGGCCTAGAGCAGCGATTTTCAGCCACTGCACACAGGGTGAAAATCGTGGGTCTAGAGGCCAAATTGAAGGACTCCAGAGGGCACCAGGGGCTTTGGTCTTCTTGCCCTGGGCAGGGGAACAGGTGTTTTTAGCTGCCCTGCTATCCTGATGTCCTGGGGCATTTTCATTAACTACTGCCCCCACACACAAATACACCAATCGGCGTGGGGGGATGGGTTCTGGCAATTCAGATGCACCCCCCTCTGAGGGTTATAAAGCCAGAGGAGGTGAGTGTTGCGTGTCAGCACAGACTAGCAGCCCTGAAGGAGCCATGCCTTTCTGATGGCCTCCTGCCCTCCTTCTCAGGGACTGGGTGAGGCTGCAATGTTCATGGGAAACTCCGTGCTCTTCGCCATACATGATGCAGTGGCTGCTGCCCGAAGAGAGAGGGGCTTGACCAACACCTTCATCCTAAACAGCCCAGGGACGCCTGAGGAGATTCGGATGGCTTGTGTGGATCAGTTCACCGACATGGTAAGGGTGGCAAAGAGGGGCCCCTGCTGGGACTCCTCTTCCACGGCTTTCAGGTTCTCGGGATGAACGTGGTCTCTGTGACAGAATTCTAGGGCAGGTTCGTCTTTTCCAATGGAAATTCTCTTTTTTCCTCCACTTGCTACTTCCTATTGCTCCAAAGCAGCTGCCTGCAAAGTGAGTAATCCTCCCAAAATGGTGTTTCACTGTTTCCAGCCCCAAAGAAAAGCACACTCAACTGAGTCAGTGCTGATAGCAAGTGGTATATATTTCTGTTTGTTTCCAGGAGCCTTTATATTTCTTCCTTGATTTCAAAAAAAGGGGAGAGGGAGACATCTGCAATACTTTCAACAAAAAATTTTTTAAAAATAGCAAATGGGCATGGTAGGTTATTTCTTTAAACATTTGGTCAAAATGCAGTTGATGTGGTATTTGAATTACCTCAATAACCAAATTAGATTCAATAGATATCTGATCTGGTCAATTATTTGGAAAGTATCTTTCAAGCAAACTAATAAAAAGAATTTAAATGAAAATATCAAGTCACTGGGCACATGTTAAAAGAACACAGTTTCATTTTTCAGCTGCTGAAAATACATCTAGAACTATCAGCGACTGTTTCTATATTCAACTGCTCACTGCAGCCCTACATGAGTCTGGTATAAAATTAGACTGCGGTTTAGGCCTTTGACATTACGGGCTTCTGGGTTTAAGATGCATTTTATCCCCAAACATTATGAGAATGAGGAGATTTATGACTCAAGGTTAGAAAGAAATGTGAAAATTATAAAATTTTGGTAAGAATAAAATGGACACTGACTTGTTCTTTTTTAAAAAAAATAAACAATATTTCTTTTGAATTTCAACATTTTTCATATAACAGCATTTTTTTAAACAGAACAGAGATTTCTTTTTCTGAAACAAAAGGAAGTTTTGGAGCCCAGGGCAGTCCAGTGATGCCATCAGGACCCAGGCTGCTTCCATGGTCCTGCTTCCCTACCCGCTCCAGGTCCTGAGAGGGTGGCTTTCGGTCTCCTGGTTATGGATGCTGGCTGCTCCCCAGGAGTCATGACTGTTCCATGATAGGGGGACAGAGACAAAGGCTAGGTGGACACGCCAGCAGAATTCTGACCTCTTTTTTATTTTTGTGGCTCTGAATTTCAGCTTTTATTTTACTGCAGAGATTAAACAGATTTTCTTCTTGACCCATTTAATACGTTTTTTGTTTTGTCTTTAACTTTTCAATTACAGTTGACATTCAATATTATATTAGTTTCAGGTGTACTGTTTAGTGGTGAGACATTTAAATAACTTATGAAGTGATCCCCCCATACCTCTCATACCCAACTGATGCCATACATCAGTTATTATAATATTATTGACTATACTCCCTATCTTGTACTTTACATCCCCATGACTATTTTGTAATTGTCAATTTATACTTCTTAATCCCTTCACCTTTTTCACCCAGCCCCCAAGCCTCCTTCCACTTGACAGGCATCAGTTTGTTCTCCGTTTCTGTTTTGTTTGTTCAGTATAACAACATTGTATTAATAACCATCTACCTTTATTTTATCTTTTTCAGATCCCCAGAGATGACCCTTCGACATTTACACCTTGGTCCATTCGTGTGTCTTAATGTTATCTTTTCTTTATAAAATGAAAGAGTTGACGATTGCCCTTAAAATTCTCCAACCAGAGCAATATATATGGTATTTCCCAAATGTCAATGATACTTTTAGCTTTTTTATTTTTTAATCCTCACCCGAGGATATGTTTTGTTGATTTTTAGAAAGAGGTGGAAGGGAGAGAGAGAGAGAAATATTGATGTGAGAAAGAAATATTGAACAGTTTCCTCCATACATGCCCCAATTGGGAATTAAACCCACAACCTTTTAGATGTATGGGACAACGCTTCAGCCAGCTTAGCCACCCAGCCAGGGTAATTTTAGCATTTTTTAATTACTCTCTATAGTTTTGGTCACTGCATGATCATGTTTTAGGATGCAAATTTTCACTAAAAGGTATAATAAAGAATCAAAATTCTTCTTTTCATTTGCATTATCCTGAAGATATACAGCATCATGGGGGTCCTATCTTAGTCCATGTCTTGTCCTAACAGAATACCATAGACTGGGTGATTTATAAAAAAACAAATATTTGTTTCTCACGGTTCTAAAGACCAGGAAGTCCAAGATCAAGGTGCCAGCAGATTTGGTGTCTGGTGAGCTCCTGCTTCCTGGTTCGCAGACTGCTATCTTCTCACTGTCCTAATTTGGAAGAAGGGACACGGGTGCTAATCCCATAGATGAGGGCTTTGTCCTCATTATCTAGTCGCCTCCCAAAGGCCCCACCTCCTAATACCATCACCTTGGGGATTAGGAGGTAACATATGAATTTGGGGAGGACACAAACATTCGGTCCGCAGCATTCCATGCCTACCCACCCCACCCCACAAATTCATATTCTCTTATGCAGGCAAATTGCTCTCCAACTGTGAACCTGTGATATCAAACATGTTATGTGCTTCCTAAATGTATGGTGGGACAGGCATAAGATACACAGTCCCATTCCCAAGGAGAAACAGGAATTCCATTCCCAAGGAGAAATGGGAGAGAGGAAAGGGATGGCAGGCCCCAGGGATGTTCCACTTCTGAAGACTTGAAAATACTCCCCTTTGGCCAAATGGTCTACCCTCCAGGCCTGGTCCTCATACTCTCCCAGACTCAGGGCAGGAAGGAGTTAGGTGACTCATGTGGCACTCCTGACTATGCACACCAATGTCAAACTTTCTCCATCCCCAGTCACACCCCGAAGGACCAACCTCTCCTCCAGATTCCAGGCACTGGAGAGGACCCCACACACACAGCCTGAGGCCTCACTGGTTCCCAGCTTCCCATAAGCCCACCTGCCACCTGGCTCAGCAGAGACTGAAAGGTTGGAGCTGGGAGGGGAAGGAAGAGGCCTCGTAGTCGATAAGGTTGAGAATGGAGGCTGGACCATGGGCATTTAATGACCCATCAAGGGTCCTAAAAAGTGTCCCACTCCTGGTCACCTGTGCTCCATCTTCTGCTTTTGAAGAGCTCACCGCAGAGGGCAACACACCAGGGACACCGGAGTGTGGCCAGTACTTTTCCATTGGCATCAGCAAGCAGGATTTGTTATCGTGTTTTTTTCCAGAAATAGGTTTTTTTTGGTTGGGGGGGAGGGCAATGTCCTTTCCAATATTAATACCGTCATGGGTAAAAGGGTTCTTTGATGTAACCAATTCATGAGACCTTTCTTACAACAAATATACAAACGCCTGAGTCAGAAGGTGGGAGTTTCTCTCACCCACCAGAACAATCCATTTAAAGGTGAAGAAATTCGGTCTTACCTTTTCATGAAAGAAAAAAAAAATCAGTGGTTGTTTTTCTGACATAAGATCAGAGGGGAACCCTTGGCGGAGACAGCAGCCTGTCTTCGCGCTGCGGTCAGCCCTTGGGTCACTCTGCACTGGGTGATTTTTAGACCGAGTTCCCAGAGCCCTGGGGTTTCTGAAGGAGAGAAAGCCACAGGACTTCAGCCTCACCCCAGCTGGCTCAACTAGCCTTGCTGTTGAATTTGTTCACACCGCATTTGGTTTCATGCAAACAAGTTCCCCTGGTTGAAACAAGTTTGAAAACACTCTTGATAAATCATTCAAGGTCAGTTTTCAGTCTCCCAGAAAGTAGCAGATCTGGTTCCCTTAATCCGAAGCACTTTCATACTTGATAACTCTAATCCCACAATTGATTCTACATTACCCGCTCGCATTTTCTGTTGGCGCTGGAGGATTCCTCCCTATAAATACTGGGACACACCATGAACTGTGGTTTTGTTGGCAGCATCCCTGCTCCTGTAAGTGGGAAGCGTGTGCTCTCTACGTTCACTGCTTCCCTCTTGTAAGGGGCAGAGTGAGATGGTGAAAGATTGTGGACCCTTAAAAACAATGCCTGGGTCACTTCTCCCCAAAGTGCAAGCAGCCATAGGAAGGGCCTTTGCCTCCACTCCCTCCTTCCCCAGCCTGCCCCGCCTCCATTCCCAATTCCCCCAGAATCAACTCCTACTCATCTTTCAGGCCTAGGGGTCCCTTCCTCAGGCCTTCCCTGATCCCTTTCCCCAAAACAAAGCTCCTCTCCCTGGTCTATGCTCTCACAATGGTAAATATTCTATCCCAGGTTAATTTTCTCTCTCTTATTAACCATTAACTCCTTGGAGGAAGAACACTTGTTGATCTTGTTTTTCACTGTGCCTCTACCACTTAGCATACTGCACAAGCTGGATGCTCAGTATCTACTGGGTAAATGAATGAGTGAATGAACGATGCCTTCTTCATTTAAAGTATTTTTAGATAATCAGCCAAGCATTTATTAACTCCTGCAAAGAGCAAGCTGTCATTCATGCCGGCCATTGTGGGGGATACAAGTAGCTCTTCTAACCTCCAGAAGCATATTACTCAATTGGGGAAATGAGACACAGACATTGAAAAGATAACCAACTATTAGTGGCAGATAAGAGACTGGTTTCCTGGTTCCTGGTGTATTAAATGAAGAATAAAGAAGTGATTGTTTGGATCTGCAAGAGTTTTTGGAATTGACAAAAGGGTAGAAGGGAGGTTTGCTGCTGCTTTTGGTGGTAGGTTAAAAGGGAGGGAGGAGGGCGGGAGGGCAACCACAGCAGGACAGGAACAGGCTGTTATCTTTGCAGACGGAAGAGCCTCTCAGACACTCAACCAATACTTATTGGGCATTTGCTCTGTGGTCGGCACCATTCTAGGCCCAGGGATACAGTGACGTCCCTGCCCTTGTGGCGCTTACATTCTAGCAGAGAAGGCAAATGAGGTGGATAAAACTCCAGGTCAGGTAGTGATGAGAGCTCTGGAGAAAATGAAGTGGGTGGTAGAAGAGAGCAGGACGGAGTGAGACTTCAGACTGGAAGATCAAGGGAGGGCTCAGACCCAAATAACAAGAAGGCACCAGCCACGCCAAAGTCTGAGAAAACAGAAGTCAAGGCAGAAAATATAACTTGCACCAAGGCCTTGGGACAGGAGATATGAGCACATTCAGGAAGCAGGGAAAGGGCCAGTGTGGCCGAGATTATGAATAAGAGAGACAGCGGTTGAAGATGTGCTCAGAGAAGGGAGTGGGGCCAGTCCCGAGGGGCCTCCATAGAGAGCTTAAGGGGTTTTGTTAGGTGTGTTGGGAGGCCAGTGAAGGTTTCAAGTAGAAGAATGGTTGAGGCAGAAGAATGATGAGAAGAGTAGTAGTTTTTGAAGAGCAAAAGAGCCTGAGGCCAGCAATAGGGACAGGTCTTGGAGGGCTTTGCACACTGGGCCTAGGAATTTGGTCCTCATGTTCTAGGCCTCAGAGAGGTACTGAGCTATTTGTAGCAGAAGTAGCATGATCAAAAAATCTGACCTGCGGCCCTACCTTATTCACATTGTCACCTCCAACTTCTCCCATAACCCTGTTGTGGATTTATTCAGCAACTGTATAACACATATGAAACACCCACACACGCACACACAAACACGTGCACATGTGCGTAAACACTCATCTCCACAGGTACACGAAGTTGGGAAGGACTTGGACCTAGACATTGAATGATAAAGAAAGTTGGCAGCTTCCAAGTGCATTTGGTTAGGGATGTTTCTGGACTAGCTCTGCGATGAGAAGGATTCTGAAGCCACATCTTGACCAAGTGGGAAGGAGGATCTTCCTTAGCCAGGTCAAGAGGATGCCAGGTATTTGTTGTCTCTGGCCTGAGGCACTGTCACAGTGAGTTCGCCTTAAGACAAAGGGTTGACTCTAACCATGGCATGCCAGGGCTCCACACACTCATGAAGGAAGTGGGCTGGGGGACAGAGAGGTCTTGCCTCCTCTCCTGAAACTAGACCACTTGAGCAGCTACCTGCATCACCCACATGTGAGGCCAAGTCCTGGGCATGGCTTCCGTTGAAAGAATAAGAATTGCTTGATTTTAGCTCCAGACATCTAACTGGAGATACTCAGAAAAATCAAAATGACATTGTTCTGTTGATCAAGAAAGGAATCTATACGCTCACAGGTATTAATGTCGCGACCCTTTAATACAGTTCCTCATGTTGTGGTGACCCCCAATTTCATTGTTACAAATTGAACATAATTAAAGAGCCTCTGCTTACTTATCTGTAAAGTGGTTGCCTTTTCTACATCACTATTTTCCAGTGGACCAATCCTGTGGCTGGGGAGGAAGTAGGAAGGGTAAAGAGGGGCTGGGTGAATGCAGCACCCCACACTCCACTTTAGGGCACAGACTGGAATTGTCCATATGACTTCCTACAAGGAGACATTTCTGCGATTAGAATGAGATCAGAGTTGGGAAAAGTGGGAGGTCCACTTCTCTCTCTTTGAGAAGAAGGAACCCATCCAGGGGCTGAGGCAGTGTACAAAGTGGGTTTAAGCTTAAATAGTTGTGTATGGTTTTCACACTGAGGCCCTCCAACCTCAGAGTAAGCAAGAAGGGGTGTGGGCCATGCACAGAGCAAGCTTTGAAGCCAGGATTGGTGGGAGGCAGAGTGAGGCACAAGGTAAGAGGCGGGACCACACAGGTGCTCTAGACTTAAAAGGCCTCGAGTCCAAGGAGTCTGTTCTCTGGACTCCAACTGCCAACTTCCACACAAGGAAGGATTTCAGTGCTTGGACTTGAATCCTTTGTGCTCAGTCCCGTGGCTGGTGCCAAAGAGCATACCCACCTAGAATTGTAAGGTGAAACCTGTTTACAGGTGTGATGCTTGGCCTGCCGCAATCCGATGAGTTGGTTTTCTTTGTGAATGGGAGGAAGGTAAGTGTTGGGTGTTACGACCAGTGCTTGAGACCACAGGAAACTACTAGCTGGAGGGGAGCCTTTGTGGTCCATTTGGGTTGAGACTCCTCCAGAAAGGGAGAAGAAGCCAGGGACTGGAACCCATACTAATTTGGCCTGTTCCCCATTTAGTGATGGCTCTGCCTCCAGGATGTGGGCGAAAGTAAAGCATTGGGGTTAATTGCATGTACCGCGGTATCAGTCTTGGGTCCAATCCAGCTCTGCCATTTACTGTATAAACTTATGCAAGTTACTTCTCCTCCCTGGGCCTCAGAGTACCCTTCTCAGAACCCACTTCCTGTGGCGGTTGTCAAGATTAAAAGAGCGGTGCTTCTTTCACTGATTAGGAATCCCCTCAACCTTTTCCTAAGGCCCAAGAGTGAAGGACAAGGGTCGGGGGCAGGAGTAGTCTGGAGCCACATGTGCCCCCCCCACCAGCACCCCAGAAAATAAATTCCTGTGACAGCATATGTTTGTTCCAATGTTGCATGCTACCCTATATCATGTGCATGCTTAGCTCACTATACCTTTTCCCCCTCAAAATCTTTAGCACAGTAAGTTCCAGGAGGAACCTATATGACAAGGAGAGAGGGTCTCCCTTTGTCAGTCTCCCTGGCATCCCTCCCTCCAGTCCTCACCATCCATCCACACAGTCAACCCTCAGTGCCCTCTGCCAGGCCCCCTCCTCTCCTGAGTCCCTCTCTGATCCTTAATGGGACCATTAAGCCACCACCCGAGGCAGGTGGCTTCTCTTGGGTCTCACCACCTGTCCTTTAGGACCTCTCAGCTCTCTAGTCCCATAAACCTAATTGGGATTTGGCCATGTTCACCCACTGCCCACCTCAGGGCTTGGATCAAGAAAGGAGATAGTTGCCGAATCCGGTTTGGCTCAGTGGATAGAGCATCAGCCTGCGGACTGAAAGGTCCCGGGTTCGATTCCGGTCAAGGGCATGTACCTGGGTTGCGGGCACATCCCCAGTGGGAGATGTGCAGGAGGCAGCTGATCGATGTTTCTCTCTCATCGATGTTTCTAACTCTCCATCTCTCTCCCTTCCTCTCTGTAAAAAATCAATAAAATATATTTTAAAAAAAGAAAGGAGATAGAACATAGAACCTCTGCGTTCTCATCATTTCCCTTCTAACTCTCCATCCTGTGTCCAATCTCCCCAGCCAGCAACCACCAGACATTCTTCCAAAACTATCTCTTATGAGCTGAGTCCTTACTCGCTTGTTCCACTGCCCTAGACTTCAGAGGCTCCTTCCTCTGTTTTCTGTTCCACATCCTCTGTGAGTCATGAGCCCCAAACGAAGTGGCTGCAACTAGAACAGGGAGTAAGTTGAGAGTTGGAGAAAATACAGATGTGTGTGGTGGGGATTGGAGTCAGCTGGATAATAAAAACATTATCCAACCGCGTTCTCAGTAGATGTTTTTGAAGGACCTGGGGTGGGAAGAAAGTGCAGAGGAAGGCTTCTTTTTTTGTTGACCAGGAGCCCGCTAGAGCTCCAGAAAGCAGGTGAATTTAGTTATATATATTTCAGAGAGGGAGGGAGAGAGAAAAACATCAATGATGAGAGAGAATCATTGATCGGCCACCTCCTGCATGCTCCCCACTGGGAATTGGGCCCGCAACCCAGGTATGTGCCCTTGGCCCGTCAGTCCGCAGGCCTCCTCTCTGTCCACTGAGCCAAACCAGCTAGGGCAAGAAAGCAGGTGAATTTTAATATCTCCACTTGGAAGCATCTTCCTGTACTATTTTTATTCCTGGAGGTCTACACTAGGTCATGTTTTTCTTCCAGGGAGAATGGAAGATCCTAACATGATTAGCTGAATCTGTCTTTCCTCTGATGCAAGAGAATGGCTGGAGGTGTTTGCAGGACAGTCAAAGGAAATATCCTCAAATAAGCAAATGAGAGAGAAGCACCAAACAAAATTCCTCCATGGCTTTTAGGGATGAATCCCCTACTTTTTAAGGTGAGGGAGGGAGAGATGCTAGGGTTCCACCAAAGCCACCTGGGGTCCTGAGCTGGGGCAACAAGACTCCACCATCACCACTCACCACACTGGCATGCACTAGGGCCTCTCCTGATGACAGCAGCCCTCTCTGCCTCCCCTTCCTGCCACCAACTCTTAAGATCCCTGATGTTACTACATGGACTCCCCACTAGAAGTGTCTCAGAGGTACCGGAATAGAAACTCTTCCTACCCAGCCTTCTTCCCTCCTGGATCCTTCATTAAACACACACACACATACACACACATGCATGCATACATAAACATACATGCACGCACATACACAGCATCCAAGTCTCTCCCAGGTTAAAATATTTCAAGAGTAGAAAAGACTTGGTTGGAAAATTCCACAAAAACAGATAGTGGATCGAACAGGGAGAACACCGCCCCAGGGCCCCTTGCACAGCAGCGGTTCCAGCTGTCATCACCTCACAGAGCATAGTCACCACACTTGCTTGGTGAGTCTCCTGCTCTGTAAATATACGTGAAGGTCGTTTGCCGCCAGATCACTAAAAAGCAGGGGCAAATGAAACCAGGCCTAGTATTTTACCCCAATCGCTGAATCCAGCTGGCCACGACAGACGTTCCACTATCCGTGGTCGGCAAACTGCGGCTCGCAAGCCACATGCGGCTCTTTGGCCCCTTGAGTGTGGCTCTTCCTAAGCCTTAGGAGCACCCTAATTAAGTTAATAACAATGTACCTACCTATATAGTTTAAGTTTAAAAAATTTGGCTCTCAAAAGAAATTTCAATCGTTGTACTGTTGATATTTGGCTCTGTTGACTAATGAGTTTGCCGACCACTAGGTCATTGATTCAGTCCCCATAATAATCTCTTTTCTGGTTTCACCACAGGTGATAGAGAGAAATGCGGACCCAGAAGTCACTCTGCTGACCTTCTTACGAAAGAACTGGACCCTTTTGACCAAAGTCTTGGCCATGTCTGTGTTTACCTTAAAAGTCAGACCTGCTGTGACTATGAGAACTAATCAAACTCTCCTTCCCCAAACAGTCAGCCCCTTGGCCCTTGCTCTCTCTTTGCTTTGGCAATGGTTTTAAGGATATTAAGTTAACTGGGCTATTTACAGAGGATGAAGTTTCCCCAGAATTTCTCATGTCTTGATCTCACAGCAGTGAAATAGAAGCTAAGCTCTTTACTTCAGCACCAATTACTCCCTTAAGGGCCTTCCGGTCCTGGGAGGGCGGTTATGTAATAGAGGCTTGTGTTTCAGGCACCCTGCCCTGGAAAGAAACCAAGTTTTCCAGATGCAGGAAGAACATGTGTCATAGAAAAAGATCTACATCTGTTTCCTTATAGCCGATTTTCCCACACCATTTTATATTCTGAAATTTAGGCCATCATCATGGCAAACATATTTTAACGGATAAGTCTGACGGGTCACTCAGGGAAGCCAAAAAAAAAAAAAGACAGAAATTGCAAATTGAGGGAATCAGCCCCTAAACTAGTGTTGGTTAAAAGCTCACATGGATTTAATTAGTTGTCAATGTTTGAAAATTAGGAAATCCCATGGTTTTAAAAAACAGGATTTCTAGCTTCTCATGAAAAATGGGAAGCTAGTCATTCCTGTGTGGCTACAGTCTGGCTTACAGGTGAGTGGGGACTGTCCCAGGCCCCTATGAAAAGTGGGACATGAGCTCTCCAGGTACACCTGACCCACTCCACTGGTTCACACAACCTCCCTTAAAAGCATTTAAGGTTATGATAGTTTAAATGAATAAGCCCTATGGCTTTAAAAAAATAAAAGTCAGTGACTCTAAACTCTTCTTAGCCAGTAGTTAAGTATATCCAATCCCCTAAATTTTGTGGAAATGGGCCACAATTAGGGAGAAGGCTGACGAAAGAGAGGGAGCAGAGGCTGAGTCTAGACCTGGACTTGAACCTGGACCAAGCAGGAGCAGGACACTCAAGGTAGTTTATGAAAATAAGGGCAGGGGTCTTCTCCAAAGGCTTGGTCACTGGCATTCAAATGCAATACAAACTACTGGGCAAAACTAGCGATACATTGAACTGCTAACAATAAGTTCTCTCCCAGTGACGTGATTAAAACCCAGAAGAGTACTTATAATGAAACAGACTTTTTCAAAGGGCTTTTACTTTTATATCCACTCTCCTCCAAGCTGCTTATGGTGAGCAGGTGAAGATAACGTGGGTATCACTTCCCCTCTTTGCAAATGAGAAAGCAGGCAGGGAGCGGTTAATAGAATGTGTCCCACAGCTGACACGGTACAGAGTGGTCCTTACTGAGACCAGGAGGCGAGTGACTTCTCAGACGTGCATCCCTGTCTTTCCTTGCTGGCGACACCCTAGGGAGGCAGCTATCATGGCGGCCACAGGTCCACCTGGGCATCTTTTCCTTGACCACCTCCCTCCAGTAGGTCTCACAGGAACCAAGTACGCCTGCGGCAGAGGGAGCTGCGGCGCCTGTACCGTGATGGTGTCTAAGTGTGACCCTGTGTCCAAGAAGATAAGGTATCCTGCCCAGAAACCCAGAGCTAGGGGAGGGTTTTGTTTCTTTGCCAGGCTTCTAGTCTCATCTTGCAGCTAAGGAAGATCTCCACGGACCTCCCAGCCTCGAGATTTCACTGTCTCTGGAGCTCAGGCCCTTCCAAAAATCTGATAACAGCTGTGAACTGTCTTCTCAGAAAATGCATTCATTAATTACATTTTGCACACACTTTCAGGGAGATCATGGATTTCCCATGGCCCATGTGTGCATCCCAAGTTAAGAAACCCCAGTTTAGGACAACCACTCATCTCACAGATGAGGAAACTAAGGCTCAACAATATGTAGTGACTTGTTTAAGGTCATGCAACTAGTACGTCATAGGACTTGAACCCACCCGTTTTGGCTGACACTAATGCCATTCCTAGTGTTGGGCTGGACCAACCCTGCAGAGCAGGGACCTGGGCCATAATTCCATCCTTAAATTAAGGACTAGATTCCAGAACTTTGGCTGTTCCCAAATCTACTGGCCTAAAAAATGCCTTCAGAACAAAACCATCCAACATTGTTGAGCGACCTTATACAGGAAAGTTAAAATTAACAAGCAAAATAAATTCATGAAATGGGTAAAAGGCACAGGTGTGCCTCTTGCCTGTTATGGGGTCAATGTCCTAAGGAATACCTATTGAGGTCCAATACCACTCCTCGTGACACAAGTCCATTCCCATTGAGGCCAGACCCAGATAGTCTGTTCTGGGCTTGGGAAGTTTTCTGAAGTTCAGAATGCCCATCTTTCCCTGGAGGATCCCCTCTTCTTGAAGATAGCACCGAGTCAGCAGAGGGGGCTCTAATTCTTCCACCTGTCCCCTGTCCAGTCCCCCATCTCCCAGGCTGAATGATAGGCCTCTGGTTGCGGGTGGAGGGGAAGGGGTTCCTGTTGTCCTTATTGGTCCCAGGGTTCCCCAGGAGGCAGGACCATGTTATTCCCCTTGATTTTCCTTGTATTTCTCATTCAAAGACACTTCTCCATCATCGCATGCCTGGTGCCCATCTGCTCTCTCTATGGAGCTGCTGTCACCACTGTGGAAGGTGTGGGAAGCATCAAAACCAAGCTTCACCCTGTGCAGGTAAGAGCATATGTTAACATTCTCACTTCTTGATCTTTTTAATGCTGAATTGACTGTGCTGCCTGGGAAAATTCTTCTCACTCTGGCAAGGAAGGCTGCATGCTGCTAATTCCCAATGAGAAAGATCTGGGCATTTGAGCTTGAGAAATGATTGTAGGGATAGCAAATGGCTTCTGAGTCGCTTCTTCCTGGAGTAGAGTAGGAGAGGGGACACTGGCCACCTCTGATGGAGGGGAGGAGTGCACTGCTTAGGGAATGAGCTCTTCCCCTCAAGGGAGATGCAGGATGTGGAGCCTGGTGAGAGGTGGTGGCATCAGGAAGGCAGGTCCTGTGACCATGTATGTGTCATTGCAGGAGAGGATCGCCAAGAGCCACGGCACCCAGTGTGGATTCTGTACCCCTGGGATGGTGATGTCCATGTACACACTGCTCAGGAACCACCCGCAGCCCTCCGAGGAGCAGCTCATGGAAGCCCTGGGAGGTAGGTTTGACATGGAGAATACTCACCACCCCCAAAGCCAGGTGGGAAGTATGCCTCCAGCTGCTCCACCCCATCCACAATGTCACCCCAGCCCCACTTGAGGACCCCCTTGGTTGTTTCTAAAGTAGCTGCAGTTCACCCCGGAGAGAAGAATGGATCTATTTTAGCTTTCCAAAGAAACCAGTGAAAATAAAGCCTACTGATACTCACGCCCCTTATTTTATCAGGCAATCTGTGCCGCTGCACTGGGTACCGGCCAATTCTCGAGAGTGGAAAGACCTTCTGCATGGTGAGTAGATGACCATGGGGACACCTTACAGAGTAAGAATGACAGTGACGCTGGTCAAGGCTAGGAATTTAGGAGTTGACTTTTTAAAACCATCTAAACAGACTATAAGGGAGAAAAGTGAGTTAGCTCCAGCTGACTCAAGGGAGTTTTAGCTATTTGTTGAGGACAAGGTAAACCTTACTCCTCCTTTGATGTCCCATGTCACACCACAGAGGGAAGCCAGGTGATCTAACCAGACATCTCCCAGGATAGTTAAGCAAAGCATTAGAGCAGGACAGGTCGGAGGGCTGCAGCGAGCCCAAAGAGACAACAAGCAAGGGCATGGAGTTGGCTTTAGGGAGGCCAGCTTTAGTCCAAGAATCCAGACCAGCTGAGAGTGTGAGCAAATAAAGAAACCAAATATGCAGAGCAGAATCCAAAATTCACCCCAGGTACAAAAGCACAGGGAGCTTCCTCAACAGAATGAGGATACCTCCCTGGGCTGCTGTGAAGATCAGGTGAGAAATCATGGCCAAGCGTGTAGCAAAGTCTTGTTTGGCACTTAAAAGAGCTCAACAAATAGTTGCTACTGTTATTGCTGCCACTGTGAATAGAGATTGGCGGGGAGACCAGCCAGGCACATCAATGGCCCTCTCCTGAGGGCAGGATTGATGTGGGCAGTACCACCCTTCGACCCAAGCAAGGAGGACCCCACACTTTGAAGGGCCCCTCACTGGTCCTCCTTCAGCCACTCTCAGGAAGCCCTGGGTCCAAGGTGACTTGTTCACCTGAAGCCTTCACCTCTTTTCTAGACCATGATCCAGGTTTGGTCTTGACCCCATTCCCAGGCCTGACACAGCCTCTTCCCAAGTCCATCTTCCTAGAGCAGATCATAGCAGCCAGTGTGTGCATCTAGGCTGAAGGATGGCCAATGACTGGTGTTTTTGGAGAGAATAGACAGAGCGTGGACAGTCAGGCTAGGTCCTCACACGGTGTTTGAGGCCCCTCGCTGCAGAACCAAGCCAGGCTGGGCAGAGAAAGGTGCAGGGGCCTCTGTTTGTTCTCTTGCTGCTGCAGCTCCACGAACAGTAGTTGTGGGCCTGGCAGTATGTCCCAGTCCCCAGAGCCAGTCCAGTCCCCCTTGCACACCTGTCCTAGACTTTTGCCACATGGAGAGCCAAAGATGACAAGCTGAGAAAATCAATGGCTTGTAAACTCATCAAACTGCTGGTGTAAATGGAAAAGCATGTGTGAAACACAAATACAGTAAAGCAGGTTAAAGGAAACCTCTCTCCCTATAGGGATGAAGGCAAAAGTGTAGTCAGAGACCCACCTTGCAGCCAGCAGGCCCCAGAAATTCTAAGGGGTGAAAGGGCCCTAGCCAACTTGGCTCAGCGGATGAAGCATCAGCCTGCGGACTGAGGGGTCCCAGGTTCGATTCCAGCCAAGGGCACATGCCTGGGTTGCAGGCTCGACCCCCAGTAGGGGGCGTGCAGGAGGCAGCCAATCAATGGTTCTCTCTCATCATTGATGTTTCCATCTCTCTCTCCTTCTCCCTTCCTCTCTGAAATCAATAAATAAATATATAAAAAAGTTTTGTTTTTAAAAAAGAGGGGGTGAAAGGAACAGAGCCCTAGTGGGGCTACTTGAGGTTCCTAGCTAATAGTCCAGGAAGACTGACTTGTTCTGTCATCATTGACCCATGGCCCCTCCTGGGAGCTGTCAGAGGCCTGAGTAAATGAGGGAGCATCGTGAACAGAATCAGGAAGCTGGCAGCCTGAGACAGTTGAGCAGAGACAGAGAACTAGGGTATCTGGAAGTATTTCCTTAAATACTTAGGGAAAATTATCTAAGGAAGAGGATACAAGAGGTGAGTTAGGGGAAAATGGGAAATAAAGAGCCGGCAAATGGAAACCTGCTTTAAAATCCATTGACTGTCCATTTATTCCCAATGAGCCCCATGCAGATCCCAAATGTCTGGTTACCAGAGCGGTTTTCTTTACCCATCTTTCTTCATGTTTTTCTTTTCTTTTTTTAAGGTCCTTATATAAATGATAGCATTCAATGTTGTTGAGTCTTATATATGCGAGAGAATGGATAGTTATTGCCCTGAAAGACATCTTACCAACTAATTCTAGCACTAGGATTTCATCTAAGAAAAAATTCAGAGATGTACACAAAATTGTACAAGCAATAGACAGAAATGTTTATTATAATGTTATTTATAATTAGAAAATGTAGGCAAAACCTAAGTATATGTCAATAGCAAATTTTACAAGTATAAATCCAGAAGATTGATTATTATGAAATCAGCAAAATTATATTTTAATGACATGGAAAATTACTCTAATGAACAAATAGGTAAGTAAATAAACAAAACAATAGGCAAAAAGATTAACAAAAAGACAAAATAAAAAGTATGTTGTATTAAAATATAGTACCATTATATATTATGTAAAAATATTGCCAGTGAAATAGGGTAATAAGAGTTTACTTCTTTTATGCTTCTCTATAGTCTATATTATTGTTTTATACTATAACTAGAGGCCCGGTGCACAGATTCATGCACCAGTGGGGTCCCTCCGCCTGGCCTATGGGGATGGGGCCAAAACCGGCTCTCTCACATCCCCTGAGGGGTCCCGGATTGCAAGAGGGCGGTTCTCAGGTGATGCACCCCAGAATGGGGCTCCCTCCTCTCTGGTTCCGGGTGCATCACCCGAGAACCGCAGCTGCCGAGTCACCACAGCTCAACAGCTCCTGCATTGAGCGTCTGCCCCCTGATGGTCAGTGCATGTCATAGCTACTGGTCGGATGGTCAGACGGTTGGACGGTCGCTTAGCCTTTTATGTATATAGATTAGATACTTTGTATATCTTACATATAAGTTTTATATATTCCATATGTATCATTTTACTTTAAAAATGAAGTAGAAAGAAGAAAGATCTTGTGATGATGCCTTTTCCAATAGAAATCACCAAAGGTGACGAACAATGTTGTCTCATTTAAATTGCCAAACCTCTCAAGGCACACGCCCATTTACCTATAAAAGAAAGTTTCTCATCTCAAGGCATTTCACCTTCTTAGGAGTCGAATGGCTGTCAGCAGAAGGGAGCAGGAGAATGCTGCTTGGCTCAGGGAGAAGAGGATCCTTCCTCACTCGGCAGGAGCAGCGACGTGAGTCCCTGTGTTTGATTTGTTCTCTCCCTGAGAGCACTGCTCCACGCCGGCCCAGTGTTGACACTGTGCTCATTAGTTCTGATGCTCATTAGTTCTGATGCTCATTCTCTGCTTTGTTCCAAATGTCCTAAGTGCCTGCACAGATAAAGCACTTGTCATTTGGGAGGCAGGTTAGGGGGTGATTCAAAGTCTGTGATCTGACTATCCTCTTGGCTCTCAGGGAGCCTGAAACTAAACAAACGCCCGCTCAGGCCAGAGAAGACAGACCCGCCCCAGCAATGACCTCAATGATGAGTCCCACTGGGGGGAGGTGGGTCTCGGTGCCTGGTTTTTGGCTTGCAGTGGTCCTCTATTGCTGTGTCCCCTTTTTTGTATGGAGGGCACTGCAGCCTCTGGGAAGGGGAAGGAGCCCATCCTGAGTCGTGTGAGGTCATGGCCCCAGGGCTGGAAGGCCAGCCTGAGACATCCCAGTGCCTGGTTTGCTCTCTCAGAGATACTGGTTTCCAAAAAGTCTCACTGCCAAGTTTTTAAATGAATTATTTAGCGAAGCCGGAATACAGGCTAGAGTTGGCTACCGTAGATGAGGAAATCCAAGAGAACAGAGTCAGCCTCAGAGGAAACTGAGTACCCGCGGACCTACCTGATTCCCATTCTTGGCCTCCCACTGTCCCCTGCATTTTTGGTCTGAAGAAGGCTTGCAATGAACAGAAGGGTGTTGCAAAGGAAAATGGCTGCACCCCGCCCCCAACCCCATGAGCATTTCACAGAGAATTAGTGCCTTGCGGGGATCAGTACACTCGAAAGTCTGATTCTCCATCTGGTGGCCTTGAGAATTCAACCTGGGCTCTGGAAACCACCTGACTTACTTTACCCAACTGAAAAGAACATGGTGGGCCCTGAGGTTCCATTGTAAAGAGAAACACAAATATGAAGTAGACCTTATGACCACTGAGCTCCATGTCCCTTCCCTACAGAAAGCACACACAGGGAGCCACAATTTGAGAGGCTTGCTTGGTGAGCTGGGGTGCAGAGCAGTTGAATCATCACCAGGGTAACATTATAGAAGACCCCCTCTTCCACCAGGGTAGACCAGACGTCTGCACAGACCCGCTCTTCTCTGGGAGCTGTTAATATTTTCCACTGAGTAACTGTTAGGTCTTGGCCCAGCACCTGTGAGGGGGACCTTTTAATTCTTCCTTCTGTTTGTTTTACACTTTAATTCTCAGATGCAATCTTATTTCTAGGTTTTAGAGATACACCACATCATTGCTCCTACGTACTGCCTGCACTTCTAAACCCAACTAACACAAAAACTGATCCTTCAGATGCTGGCCTGTAATGCTTCGATCTGGGTCCTACTCAGAACATTTACAAGGAACAATGGCATGTTTTCTTTCTAGATCCTGAGAAGACCTCAGAGACAGAAAAAAAAATGGACAGTGTGAGATAAATGTCAGGCCATTTTACCTAAGTGTCACAATTACCCTTCAAAATATGCATTATTTCCATTTAGCCTTTAAAAGGAAGAACATTTCCAGAGGGAGGGTGGGAGTCATGGCAGAGCTGAGAATGAACCCAGCGCTGTCTGCCCCCAACTTCGCTCCATGCTCTACCGTATTACTCAGACCTCTAGCCCTGCACCCACAATGCTTCCCCAATTCCCCTCACCTCCTCAGGAATGGTTTCTGGGAATAACTGTTTCCAAAGCTAAAACATTTTTTATTTAGACAAGATTGCAGTTTGGGTAACTTTTCGTTGAGGTTTTGTTTCCTAATCGTTAAAATGGAGATGATAATTTACCTTCTTTGCACAGTTGTTGGGAGGATTAAATAAATGACTAACATGTAAGGCACTTGGGAAAAAAGCACTCCAACAATTTTAACTATTATTGTTAAAATGAGTGGGGTGTGCGTGTGTGTTTACACAGGGGCATGTAGGTGTAGAGTCATTTTTTCTTAAGCTACAGGACTTCTCGGAGCTTTTAGCATTTTGAATCCTGACTTGACAGGTGAGAGGATAGTGGTTTGAATCCCAAACTACTTAACCTCTGATAATTTTTCATAGACTCTGTTGATGTTCCACAGGGTACTGTTTGAGGTATCTCATAGAACACCCTTTTCTTCAGTATCCTACTACTGGCAAATCCATATCTCTCTCTTACAATAAAAGTCTTACTTAACACAAATTGGTTCGAACCATTTCCCTGTATAAGAAGGGTAGGAAAGTTATTTCTAAGTTCATTTTGCCTGATTGATATAAATCATTGGGGTGCTGTTTCCCGTCGAGCTGGGCTGACCAAGCCCTCTTCTTCTGCCCTTTATAAAGATTTCCACAGAGTTATTTGCGAAAGACGAGTTCCAGCCCTTGGACCCTACTCAGGAGCTCATATTCCCCCCAGAACTCTTGGTAAGATGAACCGGGTGTTCTATGTGCTTGTTTAAATGTCACTGGTTATAAACTCACTTGCTCAAACTACCCTTTTCTTCCTGTGAAATTTGTCAAATGATGGGAATGTTTGATCAGATCAACATGCTTGTCCCTGCTCAGCTCACCAAGCCCTGCTGTTGCCCTGGACACACTCCCCAAAGCCTCAGCTGAGGCTATTTTTTAAGTGACGTCATCGTATGTGTTCCTGTTGACTGTCCCAAGCCATACAGCTTTGCTCAACCTCTCACTTGGTCTTTCTGGCCCCTCCAGTACGTTAACCCTAAGAATCACTTTCAGCCACCCACACCCTTTCCTCATCCTCTAGCACAGCAGTTCTCAACCTGTGGGTCGCGACCCCTTTGGTGGTTGAACAGCCCTTTCACAGGGGTCACCTAAGACCATCCTGCATATCAGATATTTACATTACAATTCATAACAGTAGCAACATTACAGTTATGAAGTAGCAACGAAAATCATTTTATGTTTGGGTCACAACATGAGGAACTGTATTAAAAGGGCCAGAAGGTTGAGAACCACTGCTCTAGAGGAACATGCCTCCACTCGGGATCTTGCCTAACCCAGGAAGACAGGTGTGCGCACACATTGTCATTTGCATGTAGAGACTGGCAGAGAACCCAGAAGAAAGAACCCTGACCTTTCATGGAGAAAGGGTTACATGGATCTCCCCTGGGACCCTCAAAGATCTCCTGGAGCTGAAAGTGAAGCACCCAGAAGCGCCTCTCGTCCTGGGCAACACCTCACTGGGTGAGCAAGCGCCATGGTTCTCATGCCGCCATTAATACTAAGCTGCACTTACACCCCTACTCTGCTCTCATCTCCAGGCACTGCCTTTTTAGGAGAAAAGCCTCATCCTTTAAAATAAAAATATTATATGTTAATAATACATCACAAAGTATACTATACCATTATATATAAATAATGTAATACTTACATATGATTATTCATATCTATAATAATAAAAGCACAATATGCTAATTAGATGGGATGACCTTCCAGATGAAGCTGAGGCTGCGAGGGAAGCCAGAGTCCCAGGTGCCAGAGGGAAGCCGGTGCTGGCAGCCGAGGGAAGGAAGGCCTACTCTTGCACGAATTTTGTGCACTGGGCCTCTAGTAATTATATATAAATTATACATATATGAACTATATATATTATAGCAATAATATAAAAGTATCGTACAAACATATTATATCATATCATATCATAATGGTCTCCAAAGTTGAAGACTCTAGGAGTATACAGGGTAACCCCTTGAGGTGTGGGGGGAAAAGTATTAGTGTTTTGAGGTTGTTGGTTTTTTTTTATCATTTACTCTATTTTGTTCTTTTTATATTATTTTTGCAAATAGTCAGTAGATATAGCAGAATTTTATTAAGTATGTATGGGTATATTAACCAATGTGCACCCAGTTATCATCCACACCCAGTTTAAGACAAGAACTTGACCACGA